TACTGAAGAAGGAAATCTTGCAGTTTGTGAAATGAGGGCATTATGCTAAGTGAAGTAAATCAGAGAGAAAAAACAAATACCATGCTATCCCATTTATATGTGGAATCTTAAAAAAAAAAACACACAAAACCCAAGTTCATAGATAGAGAAAGCAGATTGGTGATTGCTGGAGATGGGGGTTGGGGTGGGGGATAGGAAATGGGTGAAGGGAGTCAAAAGGTACAAGCTTCAAGTCATAAAATAAATAAGTCATGGGAATATAATGGACAGAATGGTGACTATTGCTAATAATACTGTGTTGCATATTTGAAAATTGCTAAGAGAGTAGATCTTAAAAATTCTCATCAGAAGAAAGTAGCAACGTATAGGGACAGATTTTAGCTAGACTTACTGTGTTGACTGTTTTACAGTATATACAAATATCGAACCGTTATGTTGTATACCTGAAACAAAGATAATGTTGTATGTCAATTATACCTCAATTTTTTTTAAAAAGCCTATCATATCATATCAAATCTGACTCCTTCCTACTTTTTCAGTTGTTCTCTGACATTGTCTGATACAAGTCTTCTGCTCTGGCTAGGCCAACCTCCTTCCCATACTTCTAATCTTGCCACACGGTTCTGTCTTCTTGCTTAAGTTCATGTTCACAATGAGCACTTCATTATCTCTAGTGTTGTTTTGTGTGGGTTCCCCACCCCAGTGGTGGTGTATACACAGGCCGTCCGTGTCCGATCTGAGAGAGCTACATACATCTTGACTTCTTGTTATAGGTAATCTTTTGTACAAGCACATGCAAATTAACAAGGCTATGTTTTTCTTTAAAAAAAAAAAAAGTTTAAAGAGGTCTATATTTTTTAAAATGTTTCAGAATTCATGTACAAGACATCACCTTGGTCTTGTCTCCATTGCTATTCATTAATTCAAAAGCTTAGTACCTCTTTGTTTCATTCAGAAGGCAGTGAAAATATCTGGCCCATTCAATAAATATTTTAAATATATTCCTTTAAAAATTGTTTTAAATATCAATTGCTGTTAAGCTGTTTTCACTACTTGGGAAGTTTCAAAGGGGGGAAGAATCTGAACAGAACAAAGACCATATAGTCCTAGAGTCGGAGATAGGGTACCATGAATGGCTTCCTGAAGGAGCTGATGCTTGGACTTTTGAAGGAGTAGGAATCTGCCAAGCATATGATGGAAAGAGACAAGTGGAGAAAGGTATTTAGGCAGAATGGACCCCGTGGACAAACCACTCAGGCATGGTGGCCCTGGGAACTGTAAATAGCTCATTAATGTGAGAGCAAGAGTGACATGGGCCGGATGGGTGGGTGGAAGTGTTGTAGGGAATTGGGAGAGTCCAGTAGAGAGAATCATGGAGGCCAGAACACAAGTGTGCCCTGCTGCGGTTTGTATATTACCCTTCAGCGTTCCATATCAAAAGGCGTTTGTTGTGATCATCTTTGCCACCATGGTACATGCTTTTAGTATCTTACCCATCACACTCTATCATTATTATTTATTTACAATACTTCCCTGTTCTTTGGGCTTCCCTTGTGGTTCAGCTGCAATGTGGCTCAGAATCTGCCTGCCGTGTGGAGACCTGGGTTCGATCCCTGGGTTGGGAAAATCCCTTGGAGAAGGGAAAGGCTACCCACTCCAGTATTCTGGCCTAGAGAATTCCATGGACTACACCCATGGGGTCACAAAGAGTCAGACCCAGCTGAGCGACTTTCAGTCACTCACTCACTCCCTGTTCTTTATTCCTTTTTTAATCCCCAGGGTCAGGCCCAGCGCCTGGCACAAAGTAGATATTTGAATAATGAATTATAAAATTTCTGAAACATGAAATATTTCAGATAGGCTGAATGAATGATAAAAGTTTATCATCAAAGGTTTGCACACAGAGACCATAGAAATGCCCTTCCTTGGTCTCTCTAAAGAGATGGTGTCAAGCATTTGTCATCGAGGATGATTACTGCCTTTCCTCCTGGAGACAATCAGAGAGGTGAGGATTACCAAAGTGCTGGCGGACTTCACACCCTGCGGCTCTCCAGAACAAGTGAAAATCTTGGGTTGGTGTTAAGGTGTATGTTGGCACCATCTAGTGGTGGTTTTAATACCTGGCCAAATTAAAAGTTTCATCATTCATAACCAAACTCTTGCTGAAGCATTGTATTGCATATTGTATCTTGTTCAGCCTTTGCCACTGTCTTCAACTTCATAGCTAACATTGGAAGTTTTATATATTGCATTTTACAAAGATGCTCAAAAGTTTTAATAAACAAGACATTCTGTTTGAAATAAAATGGAATTTCAGAGGAAGCGCGGGGTTGGACAAACCTAGAATCTTAGAACATTCTAATCTCATATGTTATTTGCTGTCTCTTAGTCACAGAGTTCCAGACTCATGAGGTAATATTTTTTTCTAACATCCTCCTCCTCCTCTGTGTTTTTTTCTGTTTGGACAGTGCTTTTTAAACTAAAGAATTTTGTCCTTTGAGTTCTTATCTTTGAAGAAAGCTGTTGAGTGTGTCCTTCAAACATACAGGTTAAACCGGAAAGGCTTGAGCGGTGAATCTTAGCTGCTTCTTGCTTTTGTGGGTCTTTGAGTATGAGTTATGTGGACATGTTCCTCGTGACTTATGTTGATTGACAGCCGAGGCAGGGAATCAGATTATGATCACTGCATTAATCCCTCGTGTGGAGGGATGGCTGTGCTTCTAGTAGCAATGTTAATAAAATAAAAGCATTTATTACAAATCTCCTTCATGCAGGACATAATTGGATGCATAAGATTAATTGCCTTTCTCTTTTTTTTAAGTACTTAGTCAATGCTAGAGGGAGGGAAGGATATAATTATCACCATTTTATAGGTGAAGGAGCTGAAACTTGTGGAGGTTAAGCAGCTTTCACAGTCTCTCGGCTCTTAAATTTCAACGTGACCCTTTGGACCCAGGTATCAAGGACTCCGGGGTTGGTGTATTCAGCTACCATAGAAACTTTCTGTCCAACAATGGGAAGAATGCATAGGGAAACCACAGGAGAAAAATGCACAGAAAACCTCAAAGTGGCCAATAACTCTCATTTAAGCATACAACGACTTGATAAAAATCATGGTATTAATTTATTGCTGACATTATCAGCATGTTTGTTTCCACTCCTAATTATAGCCGACAGCCTTCATTCCAGTGCAGAGGGAGTTTAAGGGTCTTGCCCTCTGGTCTCTTGTTAGGCTTTGTTATTGCTCTGATGCACTTCCTCGACAGCAGGAGTGCTCAGAGACCCAGCCCCTGTCCGTGGACCAGCGTCCTCCCGTGTTGGCACTCCCTTCTTCCAGCTCTTGGACGTGAGCTCTGTCTGCATGTGCCTCTTAGTAGGTGGAGTATGTCGTGCCAACCACTTGTGTAGAAATGTCCATTGGGTGTTGGCCTTATATGTGTTTATAAGTATGAATTAATGTGTCAGTGGTAAATAAATACAGGTTTTCTAAATTTTATGTTGAATTTTTTTCTTTGCGGATATAGATGCATGATTTTTCACAGTTGGAGTCATATCCTATGTGCTGGGGGTTTTTTTTTTACTCTTTTTTTCTTTTCTTAGCTCCTCTGGCTTTCTTCCAGCTGCCCACATGACCTTCCTCCTCATCACCCTACTATATGTTTTTAAAAATACGTAAGACATAACCTGATGCAGCCTTTCATATTTTTCCAGGCTCATGTAATCATTTACAAAATATATTTATGTACAGTTATTATATGGGCTTCCCAGGTGGCACTAGTGGTAAAGAACTCACCTGCCAATGCAGGAGACATTAAGAGACGCAGGTTTGATCCCTGGGTTGGGAAGATCCCCTGGAGGAGGGTATGGCAACCCACTCCAGTATTCTTGCCTGGAGAATCCCATGGACAGAGGAGCCTGGCTGGGTACAGTCCATAGGGTCACACACAGTTGGACGTGACTGAAGTCCATGCACACACAGTTAGGTACCTGTCACGTACATATACAGAGTGGATTTTTAGCCTCTTATATGTGTGAGTGGTGGGATCATGTTATACTTTTTAAAGTATACATACTTTTTCAATCTGCTATCCTATTCCTGGAGATCTGTTTCACAGAAATGAAAGCACTGATTTGTAAGATTATGTGCCGAGAGTATTTTCTACAATATTGCTCATGATAGCAGGAAGAAAGTAGAGTGATCAAATAAATAAGTATATATCTACACCATGGAATTTTAGGCAGTCATTTTTTAAAAAGTGGATTTGATTTATGCCAGAAATGTCTCCTCTATTGTTCTTTCTGGTATGGATGTTACTGTTTTTATTCCTTTACTAACATTTTTGTGGGGTTTCAAGAGGGAGAAGAAATAAATATATTTGGACAATTTTCTTTACAACTGAAGATCGGGCTAAATGGGTTTCAAGACCTGCTTAATTTCTGTATCTTTTCCTCCTAGAGCTCTTATATTATCCCAGCCATTTTTATTTCTTTCTCCTTCTTACCCCTTTGTATTATAGAAATTAGAAAATCTCCAGCCTCCGGTATTAAATTCTTCCTTCTCTCTTGGCTGATAACTCCTACTGGTCTTTTCTACCAGCAGCAGACGCAGGACCACACAGCCTCAAGCATTAACTCCAAAAGTAAACTCAGAATCGTGAAGTGTCAGTTCTCAAGTTGCTCCTAGGATATTTGGATTTTCTTGGAAATAAGAGACTTGTAGGAAAGAAACAGCATTTCTCCTTAACCATAGCTGGGCTTCCCTGGTGGCTCAGTGGTAAAGACTCTGCCTGCCACTGCAGGAGACACGGGTTCAATCCCAGGTAGGGAAGGTTTCCTGAAGAAGGAAATGGTCACTCACTCCAGTATCCTTGCCTGGGAAATCCCATGGACAGAGGAGCCTGGCGGGCTACAGTCCATGGGGTGGCAAAGAGTCAAACACAACTTAGTGACTAAACAACAATAACCACATCCATGTCTTCCTTTCTCCCACTCGTGTGCAGATTTGAAAAAGGACGCATCTACACATTCATTGGAGAAGTCGTCGTCTCTGTGAATCCCTACAAGTCGTTGAACATCTATGGGAGAGACACGATCGAGCAATACAAAGGCCGTGAGCTGTACGAGAGACCCCCGCATCTTTTTGCCATTGCTGATGCTGCTTACAAGGCTATGAAGAGGCGATCGAAAGACACTTGCATTGTGATATCAGGTATTTAAGGAGAGCCCTGTGCTTCCAAAGTCAACATGTATTTAATTTATTTGGGTACTCAAATGTCCAAATGATTAACTAGATGTTCTTTGAAGTTAGAAGCTTAAATAATTTTACAGGAGAAAAAAATGTAACCAACATTAAATGCCAGATCATCTCTGTCATTTCTGACCATCCACTAGTCTCAGTTCATTTACACGTTATATATTATGTTCAGAAGGACTGCTGGTCAATTTTGTAGACTGAGCTGACATGGGAAATTCGTCCTCTCATCTCAGAGGCATAGAACTACTGGATAAAAATGTAACAAAGTTTATTTTAGATAATCAGAGAATGAAACCAGGAAGACATCCTAAGTTCCCATCAAAAAGGAAGAATGAACTCCAAGTCAGACTAGTGAACAGGATGGAGCTGGCGTCAAGGGACACATGGAGGCACGGGGGCTGGAAATGGCCTCAACGTTGGGGGCTGGAGCTATAAAAGCCTGCAGGAGGGTCAACAGGTGCCAGACCCTGGGTGCCCAAGAGCAGGCGCCGAGCTCTCTGTGTAAAACCGAGCACTTCAAGGAGTCGTGTGTAGTGAGTCGGAAACAAGAAAATACCTGCCCGATGGCCCAGGGTGGCCTCTCCCAAACTGTGGGACTTCCCCTCGAGGCTCATAACACCTCATATTCTCATGAGTGGCTTTTATACTTTAAAAACCCTTTTGCGATCTTTATTCCATTTTGGTTGTCAGCTCTGCTCTCTGATCAGAATGTAGGACAGTTGTGTTTCTGCTTCACGGATGAGACTATTGAGGGTCAGAGAAGCAAGGCAACTTAGTGTTGGTGCTGGGGAGTTATATTCTAGGACGGCCTTTATTAAAACAAAATTTGAAGGCAATATTGCCTGATTGTAAAAGGGGGGCAGGAGGGAGGCAGTTTTATAAGTGAAAGCAGAAAGTCTCTTTCCCTCGAATCCCTTGTTCTTCCCCAAATTCTCACAATAACTCCTGTGAACAGTAAAGTGTTTATCCTTTTTTTTTTTTTTGCTTCACCGCACAGCATGTGGGATCTTAGTTTCCTGACCAGGGATCAAACCCATGCCCCTTGCATTGGAAGGGTAGAGTCTTTAACCACTGGATCTCCAAGGAAGTCCCAAAAGCATTTATCCTTTAATAAATTTTCTCTCTGTGTGCAAATACATATAGTCACACTTGCATATTAATTATATATTATAGAATTATGTTATAACTTGTTTTTCCATTTAACAATGTATGTGGATATCTTTTCACTGGAATACCTACAGAAGTAGTGCAGTCTGTAACAATTGTGTAGGATGACATTGAATAGTTGAATTATAATTTATTTATCCAATCCTCTACTAATGGACATATTACTTTCAGATTTTAGCCATAATACATAGAATAGCCTGCAGAAATAGCCTTAAAACCTTTGAAGATTATCATTTGATTATATTCATATTTTTAGTATTTCTAGAGTATAAATTTCTGCACGTGGAGTTTTGGGTCACAAGGGATAAACATTTAAAGATCTGGGCAGAAAGCAATCTTGAGAAAGAAGAAGGGAACTGGAGGAATCAACCTGCCTGACTTCAGACTATACTACAAAGCCACAGTCATCAAGACAGTATGGTACTGGCACAAAGACAGAAATATAGATCAATGGAACAGAATAGAAAGCCCAGAGATAAATCCACGTACCTACGGACACCGTATCTTCGACAAAGGAGGCAAGAATATACAATGGAAAAAAGACAACCTCTTTAACAAGTGGTGCTGGGAAAACTGGTCAACCACTTGTAAAAGAATGGAACTAGAACACTTTCTAACACCATACACAAAAACTCAAAATGGATTAAAGATCTAAATGTAAGACCAGAAACTATAAAACTCCTAGAGGAGAACATACGCAAAACCCTCTCCGACATAAATCACGGCAGGATCCTCCATGACCCACCTCCCAGAATATTGGCAATAAAAGCAAACATAAACAAATGGGACCTAATGAAACTTAAAAGCTTTTGCACAACAAAGGAAACGATAAGCAAGGTAAAAAGACAGCCTTCAGAATGGGAGAAAATAATAGCAAATGAAGAAACAGACAAAGGATTAATCTCAAAAATTTACAAGCAACTCCTGCAGCTCAATTCCAGAAAAATAAATGACCCAATCAAAAAATGGGCCAAAGATCTAAACAGACATTTCTCAAAGAAGACATACAGATGGCTAACAAACACATAAAAAGATGCTCACCATCACTCATTATCAGAGAAATGCAAATCAAAACCACAATGAGGTACCATTACACACCAGTCAGCATGGCTGCTATCCAAAAGTCTACAAGCAATAAATGCTGGAGAGGGTGTGGAGAAAAGGGAACCCTCTTACACTGTTGGTGGGAATGCAAACTAGTATAGCCGCTATGGAGAACAGTGTGGAGATTTCTTAAAAAACTGGAAATAGAACTGCCATATGACTCAGCAATCCCACTCCTGGGCATACACACCGAGGAAACCAGATCTGAAAGAGACACGTGCACCCCAATGTTCATCGCAGCACTGTTTATAATAGCCAGGACATGGAAGCAACCTAGATGCCCATCAGCAGACGAATGGATGAGGAAGCTGTGGTACATATACACCATGGAATATTACTCAGCCATTAAAAAGAATTCATTTGAATCAGTTCTAATGAGATGGATGAAACTGGAGCCCATTATACAGAGTGAAGTAAGCCAGAAAGATAAAGACCATTACAGTATACTAACGCATATATATGAAATTTAGAAAGATGGTAATGATAACCCTATATGTAAAACAGAAAAAGAGACACAGGTGTACAGAACAGACTTTTAGACTCTGTGGGAGAAGGCAAGGGTGGGATGTTCAGAGAGAACAGCACTGAAACAAGTATACTATCTGGTGAAACAGATCACCAGCCCAGGTTGGATGCACGAGACAAGTGCTCAGGGCTGGTGCACTGGGAAGACCCAGAGGGATGAGATGGAGAGGGAGGTGGGAGAGGGGATCAGGATGGGGAACACATGTAAATCCATGGCTGATTCATGTCAATGTATGGCAAAAACCCCCCAAAAAATAATAAAAAAATAAATAAAAAATAAAGATCTGGGCAGATAATTATAAATTTATCCCTTCTCCCCTCCTTATGTCAGTTGTCATGCTTTTTCTGTGACACTATATGTCTGGAGCTTGCTGCTTTTGCTTGTCACTAAAATTGCTGTAATTAAAGAAACTTTCATCCCCACTAAAAAAAAAAATGTTTTTAATCTGCTATCGAAAACAAAGTTATGACTTTCACTGTGGCTACTATTTGTCACTTTTCTTGTTTATTTTCCACTGGACTTCAGAGTCGCTGCCAAGTACTAAGACTTCAAGGAATTAGCGTGCCACATTTTATCCCTTGATGTTTTTTACTAAGTAAGTCTTGATCTGTAATCTGTTATTTTGCTTCTACAATAGTTTTAAATTTTTTACCATGTTCAGATCCATTAGAACCAACCCCATATCAAGACAGGGTGAAATAACTCAAAAAAAAAAAAAAAGAAACATAAAATTTTTCAAATGAATTACATCAAACCTTGACAAATGGGGGACTTCCCTGGTGGTCCAGTGGCTAAGATTCCATGCTCCCAATGCAGGGGGCTCAGGTTCAGTCCCTGGTCAGGGGACTAGATCCCACAGGCTACAACTAAGACACAGCACAGCCAAATAAAGAAATGAAAGTAAATATTTTCTAAAAAACTTTATGAATTTATGGATACCAAGGGGAAAAGGGGGTGTGATGGATGGAAAGATCGGGATGACATATATGCACTACTATGAATAAAATAGATAACTAATGAAAATCTCCTATATAACACAGAGCAGCTCTACTCAGGGATCTGTGGTGACCTAAATTTAAAGGAAATCTAAAAAAGAGGGGGTATATGTGTCCATGTAGCTGGTTCACTTTGCCGTACAGTAGAAACTAGCAGAAACTTGTAAAGCAATGATACTTCCAAAAAAAAAAAAAGCTTGAAATAATTTGATTCTCCAATTTTTTTAAAAAAAAAAGAAAACTTGAAATAATTCGATTGAACATTAGCTTGGTGTAAGTGGGAATGTTAAGCCTTCCACAATTCTCCCCCTAGGGGAAAGCGGAGCCGGTAAAACAGAAGCCAGTAAGTACATCATGCAGTACATTGCGGCCATCACCAACCCCAGTCAGAGAGCGGAGATCGAAAGGTAAGGGCCGTCTCACTATGGGGGAGAATTGTCTCTGGAGCCTCACTTTCTATACAGACTGGACGAGATTAGGTCCACACTCTCATTTATTGACAGTTAAACTACTTTGATTCTCTTACTGCAGAGCTCTGTGCTTTTATTTTTTAATAGCTTAGTTTGAGTTATCTTTTAGAATGTGTCTCTTCACTGGGGGATGCACCAGGACTTTGTTGCTGCGCACAGGTTTTCTCCAGTTGTGGTGAGGGGGGCCCCTCTCCAGGTGCGGCGCGCAGGCTTCTTGTTGCAGTGGCCACTCCCATTGTGAAGCACAGGCTCAGTGGTTGTGGCATATGGACTTGGTTGCTCCGAGGCGTGTGGAATCTTCCCAGACCACGGATCGAACCTGTGTCCCCAGCACTGGCAGGCAGATTCTTAACGACTGAACCACCAGGGAAGTCCTCTCTATATTTCCATTTATATCCTTCTATTTCCATATTTCTTTTTGATCGAAAGATACTGCTAAGGGAATTCTAGTCTGCAGCTGCCTTCAGTGTTACATGTGCTCAGCAAAGATGTAATAGTCTCCTGGGAGTTTGTATTGTTCTAGCACGCACAGGTTTCTCACTCTTTCTACTGTACAAGCATCTTTTCTACACTGTGTTCTACTTTCCCTAGGCTGAAAGGGGGCTCTGGGAGGCAGACGCATGCTGCCCAACTCTGTGACAACCAGAACCTTGGTATTAGAAGTTCCGAATAGGATTCATTTTCTGAAAGGGTTTTATACCACGTTGTTCTCTGCTCACCACAGGATGAGTGATAAAGCTGGTGTGCGCTGTCTGGGTGTGCTGGTGTGCACTGACCCAGCATTCAGTAGAGTGTCTGGTACATGCTGTTTACTTAGTAAATATTAAGGAGTAAATGGATGGGGTTTTTTTGCTTTTAGAAAGTTGGAAATGTGGCTATAAAACATGACTTTCTTATGTGGTGTGGACTTTCCGAAGAGAAAAAGAGCAACTTTCTAAAGTTGCTACTTTGGGACTTCCCTGGCAATCTAGTGGTTAAAACTTCACCTTCCAATGCAGGGGATGTGGGTTTGATCCTAATCGGGGAGCTAAGATCCTACATGCCTCCTGGCCACAGAACCAAGATATAAAACAAGCAGTATTGTAACAAATGCAATAAAGATTTTTTAAATGGTCCACATCAAAAAAAAAAAAATCCAAAGTTGCTAGTTTGAAACTTAGTATTTATTTACAGGACGTCACACTCTGTATATACAGCTCAGTATTCAGTTTTATGGGTAGAGAAAAAGGAAGCTGTGTTGGTACAAAAGAAGAAAATTTGGGCTAGACTATCCTACACGGGCTTTCTTCTTTTCATCGTTAACTGGGCTAGATTGCCACGCCAAAAGAGGTGTCTTTCAGTGGTACAGCCCCAATTGTGATTCTGACTTTGCAACCTAATAGGCCAAGAACAAGGATATAAGTAAGTTTTTAGAATTTCCTTAGAATCTCAGGAGAGTAACTGGCTGAGAACTAAATTTTAGTTTGTTTTAAGAGTTAATTTCTAAGCCCAGTTGGTACAGTAAAGGAAGGCATGTTTACACTTACTGGTTTTTTAAGAGCATATCTTACCACAGTTTATAAACACTTTTCTTTATTTACCATAGCAAAGCAGTTTCCCCTGCTCCACTTAAAAGTGTACTTTCATTCGTGAGGAGTTAAGGTTGTAGGGTCACTTTTAATAGTGATGGAAGGTTATTTCAGCAATATGCCCATATAAGAGCAAGTATGTCAGTGAAATAGAAACAAAGACAAGACCTAGAATGAAGTTAAAATGTATCCATTGGGATAGAGAATTAGTGTTCATCAATAAAGAATGACTTAACATCTTTTGTAATTATCTTTATTTAAAAATTATACCTGAAAAAAAAAAAGACTTAAATACCTGATAACAAAGAGAGATTCCATACAGCTCCAAACAAAATGATGAGCAGTTTCTAAACTAATCAAGACCACATTGATGATATTTTAACCAGTGCAGTAAATTTCACTAGGCTTTGTAAGCAAATACTTTTAAAAATGGAATCATTTTCCGTATCACCCATTCTTTTCAGAACATCTCTTTTTAATATTTTTCTTTATGTAAATAAAGTATGCTCATTTAATAGAAAAACTAAAAATTACACCATTGTGCAGAACATGAAAGTTCCCTGAAATTCCACCTACCTCCCCCATCAGCCTAGGTAACCATAGTGAAGTATGTTGTCCCTTCGAGATTTGTAAGCATTTAGTAAAACATGTGTGTGCACACACACAAACACACACACACCACAAAGATCATACTATTTTGTAATACATATTATTTTGCAACTTAATTTCTCATTCATTAATATATTCTGGACCTCTTTCTAGGTCAGTATATGTTGTACTAGGAAGCAAAAATTTGTCTTCATCCATCCCTATTCATGGACTTTTCTGTTGTTTAAAAGTTCTTGTTCTTTCGATGTTGCAAACAATGCTACAGTCAACATCTCTGTAGACATATTTATATGTCTTTTAATGAAATCTAGTTTCTTAAAAAGTCCAGTCTTTGAAATTTCTTGCAGTGACTTTCATTTATCTGTGTTAAAGAGTGAAGAATATGTTGCTTAAGTCTAACTGTGTCCTGGAAGCTTTTGGAAATGCCAAAACCAACCGCAATGACAACTCAAGCAGGTTTGGAAAATACATGGATATCAACTTTGATTTCAAGGGAGACCCAATTGGTGGACACATCAATAACTACTTATTGGAGAAGGTAAAATGTGCTTTATTTCTGAGGGTCATGTTTGCAAATGCTGAATTTTTGAGGGGGAGCACTAGAATTGTGTTTTCAAATTGAGTTATGATTAATGTACAGTATTAGTTTCAGGTATACAATGTGGTGATTCAATGATTTTATATATTATAAAAGAATCACCTCAATAAGACCAATTACTGTCCATCACCATGCAAACTTATTACAATATTGTTGACTATATTCCATGTGTGTACATCACTTCATGTATAACTGGTAGTTTGTACCTCTTAATACCTTTCACCTATTTCACCATCCCTGCCCCCAACACTGTCCTCTCTGACAACCACTGTTTGTTTCCTGTATATGAGTCTGTTAATGCTGAATGTCTTTTAAAAACCTGATTGTAGAATTTCTTTTATTGCTCCAAAGTACCTTTTAATCCTGTTCTCCATCCCTTCCTGCCCCTCAGTAACTGTTCTGTGACGTTAATGTTCTCTTTTTGTGTTCTCTTATTAGCATTACAATGTCAAGGTGGGAGAAGTTATAGAATTTGTAGATAATGATTTAGGTGTGTGTGTGAAGGGGGGTGATTGAACATATGCCAACTTTTGGGCAAGGTTTAGCAAAAACCCATCTAGAATTAATCACTTCTACTCTTTTTACACATCCTCCCATGTTTTTATTTTAATTAATTTGAAATCTCCTTTTCTTCCAGTTTCTATTTGTTTACTGCTTTATAGTAATATTTATATGTATATTTATATAGTAATATAGTACTTTGTGATTTTATAGCCTAATTATGAGGCATACTACATTTGGTCTGTGAAAACTTAGAGTATGTTTTTATCTGCCCATGTGAGTGAAAGATTCAATTTGTAGATGAGTCTAGTCAAAACTTTCCTCTTGGGACTGCTAGAGAGGTTGTGTCCTAACTAATCCGGAGTAGATTCACCTGGTTACAGCGAATCTAAGTTTTACCAAGTTAAGTCACCACCTTGAATTGTACTCAGAGATGAACTGACCTACCTTCTCAGTTAAGGGTTTTCCATCCCAATCATACCATAGCAACATTTATGGCAGCAGAATGCAGTCTAACCTTCATCTTTGTTTGGGAAGCTGAAGTCAGACTATTCAGGAAACAGTGTTTTATCAGAGTCAGTTGAAAAAGGACAGGAAATGCCAGTTATTATCAGTCTTTTTTTTTCCAAAATGTTTCATGCCTTCACTTTATGTACATATTCAGGCAAAAGAATCCCCTTATGTTTTGAGTCCTCTCTTAAGAGCAATCTTTTCGAAACCCTCTCAAGCAGAGCAATCTGTGGACAGATCTTGTTCACCTGACTTTAGTACAGGATGTAAGGTGGTGCTCTTGGAAATACCAGCAGATCCTCAGGAAGGGAATGCTAAGAGTATTCCTCCCTAAACATTGCTTCCTATTCTCCCCACTGCCAATCCCCTCCCCCTGAAAATTCCATCTTTAGGCTCCAGGTTTAAAAAAAATCAAAATAGCTTCATTTTCGGAAAGTTCAAGAAAGAATTATCAGAAGATTGCACAGACTCCATGGGCCGGCCCGTCCGTGGGGTCCTTAGGACCTTTTCAGTGCCCCGCTGATACCGGGTTCTCTGGGAAAGTGGCTCTCATTTTGTTTCAGGAGTACATTGTCAGATTAACGATTTTAACGTGTTTCTTTTTTTCCCCCTTTAGTCTCGAGTTATTGTGCAACAGCCAGGAGAAAGAAGCTTTCATTCTTTCTATCAGGTTAGTAAGCTGTTCTGCAGATAATTGTCCATCTGTTCAGGTGTGCATGAAATGGATTTTTACTTTGGGGGCTCTCCCCTGCCTCGTGCCTCCCTCACCTCCATCAGCCCACAACACTTTGCACACGTGGGCACGCGTGCATACACCCTCCCCTACGGAGTTCTTCAGAGGCTTGATGAGCATGACTGTTCTAAAAAGCTAGCAGGTATTAACCAACCAGATGACTGCCTCAGTTGAGCATTCCCCATGTTTCTTTGCAGTGTAGTAACAGTTTAATGACCCTAAAAGCTTTTGAAATGATAACATTCTGAATATGGTAAATTAGCTTTATTTTTCAGTTGGAGCTATTGTTCCCATTTTGCAGCACTCCAGAGATGGGAATACAAATTCAGGTTATTTTTGTTAAAAAAAAAAGAATCAATTTTAAAAACCTGATAGTTATGTTTTTTTTCAGTAAACCAAAGTGTACAGTTTAATATAGAGAATTTCTTTTTTTTTTTCCATTTATTTTTATTAGTTGGAGGCTAATTACATCATTGCAGTGGTTTTTGTCATACATTGAAATGAATTAGCCATGGATTTACATGTATTCCCCATCCCGGTCCCCCCTCCCACCTCCCTCTCCACCCGATCCCTCTGGGTCTTCCCAGTGCACCAGGCCCGAGCACTTGTCTCATGCACCCAACCTGGGCTGGTGATCTGTTTCACCCTAGATAATATACATGTTTCAATGCTGTTCTCTTGAAACATCCCACCCTCACCTCCCAGAGTCCACAAGTCTGTTCTATACATCTGAGTCTCTTTTTCTGTTTTGCATATAGGGTTATCGTTACCATCTTTCTAAATTCCATATATATATGTTAGTATACTGTAATGGTCTTTATCTTTCTGGCTTACTTCACTCTGTATAATGGGCTCCAGTTTCATCCATCTCATTAGAACTGATTCAAATGAATTCTTTTTAATGGCTGAGTAATATTCCATAGTGTATATGTACCACAGCTTCCTCATCCATTCGTCTGCTGATGGGCATCTAGGTTGCTTCCATGTCCTGGCTATTATAAACAGTGCTGCGATGAACATTGGGGTGCACGTGTCTCTTTCAGATTTTGTTTCCTCGGTGTGTATGCCCAGAAGTGGGATTGCTGGGTCATATGGCAGTTCTATTTCCAGCTTTTTAAGAAATCTCCACACTGTTTTCCATAGTGGCTGTACTAATTTGCATTCCCACCAACAGTGTAAGAGGGTTCCCTTTTCTCCACACCCTCTCCAGCATTTATTGCTTGTAGACTTTTGGATAGCAGCCATCCTGACTGGCGTGTTTTTGATTTTGATTTTGTTTTTGATTTTGATTTTGATTTTGATTTTGATTTTGTTTTTGATTTTGATTTTGATTTTGATTTGTTTTTGATTTTGGTTGTGGTTTTGATTTGCATTTCTCTGATAATGAGTGATGTTGAGCATCTTTTCATGTGTTTGTTAGCCATCTGTATGTCTTCTTTGAGAAATGTCTGTTTAGATCTTTGGCCCATTTTTTGATTGGGTCATTTATTTTTCTGGAATTGAGCTGGAGGAGTTGCTTGTATATTTTTGAGATTAATCCTTTGTCTGTTGCTTCGTTTGCTATTATTTTCTCCCAATCTGAGGGCTGTCTTTTCACCTTGCTTATCGTTTCCTTTGTTGTGCAAAAGCTTTTAAGTTTCATTAGGTCCCATTTGTTTATTTTTGCTTTTGTTTCTAAAAATATAGAGAATTTCAACATAGTGCCTTCTCAAATTCTCTGTAGAGAAGGACGACGTGTATTGTATCTGTGTTTTGTTGATAATTCACCATGTTTTCAATAAACTAGTTTTCTGCCAAATATAGGAGTTCTGTTATTTCAAGAACCCGTGACTGGGATTTGCCTGGTGGTCCAGTGGCTAAGACACCAATGCAGGGGACCCGGGTTCAATCCCTGGTCAGGGAACTAGATCCCCCATGCCACCACTAAGGTCCATGCAACAAAATTAATAATTTAATATATTTTTTAAAAAGAACCTGTAACTTTTTCTGCACTTGAGTGAAAGTTAAAATTTGTCTTTGTCCAATACTACAGTCCTGGCTACCCAACTGTCCTTTCCTGGGGTTAGAGTCTGAGGAGGAAAAGCTGTTTGTTTCCAGTATGATTCAACAGATGACCAGCTGCTGACGCCTCTTAGATTCAAGGCAGTATTGACTCTTTCTGAATTTGAAACACAACTGCACACTGTCTAGATAACAAGGTTGATAAGCACATGATTGCCACAGAGCACCGGCTCCCGGTCTGTAGCACAGACAGCTACAGTCAAAGCAAGAACCTTTCATGCCAATTATGTTACGAAAGGGCTAAGAACTTTTAAGTAATTTTCCTTCTGACTGTATAACATTCTCCATCTCTGATGATGTTGAAGCCATTTCCCCTCGAGATAAAAAATAAAAATAAATCTTCAAAGCCAGAAACAGGAGGACCTGAGTGAATTAACCCAGAAAATGAAAAAAAGCTAGTTTACCATTAAGTTTGGAGTAAGAAAATGGCAACCCAATCTAGTCTTCTTGCCAAAAAAGTTCCATGGACAGAGGAGCCTGGTGGGCTACAGTCCATGGGGTTGCAGAGAGTCGGACACGACTGAGGAACTGAGCAGCAGTAAGTTAGAATACATGGCATATTGGGCTCAGTGGGTATATTGATAACTTATTTTTATTTCGATGCTTTTCAGTTGCTGCAAGGAGGTTCGGACCAGATGCTACGTTCTCTGCATCTCCAGAAATCCTTGTCAGCCTACAGCTACATCCATGTTGGAGCCCAGCTAAAGGTAAGCGTTTCCTTTTTGAGATAATTCAGATATAGAATCAAAGAATCAGAAGGGACATTAATAAATTATCAGTTTCAGCCTGCTGCCTTAAAGCAAATGAATGACTCTTATCCTATTTTTAAAATTCTCGAGGACAGAGATTCGATGTATTATTGATGCAACAACTTTGCTTAGTAACCCATTACTATATTTTATCACCATCTGATACGAAAGAAGTTTCTCTCTTGTGTTCTTGTGGGTTTTTTTTTTTAATTTTTAATCCCATTCCTTTTATTTTGACCCTCTAAAAATATTGTTACAAGTAGGAAATCCACCGCAAAAGGAGCTACTGTATGATTTGGCCAAAGGCAAGTTGGTAAAACAAGACAAAGCTGAAAAGCACTGTGGTTGAAAGATATCAAAGATCACCATTCATTAGTTTTTCAAATCATGATTTTGATGAAATAGTTTTGTGATCCTTGGAGCATTTCTATTCAACTTTCACAATTTTTTTTTCCCTTCCCTTGCATGTAAAAGCCCTTGCACACACATCACACCAACCCTTTTGCCATTTTGTTCCTAATTAGTGTTCTGCTGTACATATAATTTCTGCTAGCCAATTTATAGCTAATCCTAATAATATAGTGATTTGTCAATGGTAGGTTATAAAACAGTAATTATAGTTTCATTGGGGAAGGTATATAAATACATGAAATAAGATTTGAAGGGAAATAGACCAGGGTTTACTTGTTTACTCTGGATATATAAAGTTATACATACTTGGGTTCTCCTGCTTTTTACATATTTCACATTTCTTCTATAATTAAAGATGCACTATGTCTGTAGTTGGGGGAGAAAATAAAAGACTTTGTAAAAGGAAAGAATCCAAGATGTGGGAAGCATTTCTTTTTTTCAAATTCTTTGCTATTCATCTTAAGCTAATTATACCTATATTACTGGTTTTAGTGGTATTTTTATTATCACACATATAAATAAATGATACTTAGGGTTTTGCAATTAGTTTTCCATTGTTTGACATTTAAGTTGCACAGTTTTATACTTTTACAGTCATCCAAGAACAGGATGTTTGGCTGAAAATTAATTGAAAGCAAACAAAACAACGGAGGGCCACACCCCAGCTTTTTGAGAACGGGTCAGAGGTACTTCAAGATGTATAAAGGACTATAATATCATCTCTTAAAAGAACAGTGACTGAAAATATTCTTTTTAAATCAAATTGTCTTATTGACCAAGTGACTCTTGACTGGGTCATGTACAGCACCCAGAAAAAGCAAATACTAAATGAACATTTAGTCTTTTCTTCAAAGCTAAATTTACTTTAGGTTCCCTTTTCATCAACAATTTTCATTCCTATTCCTCCCCTTCCTTTTTTCCTGCCCAGTAAAAACCAAGAAGTAATATATGATCATAGTCAAAACATAAAATAAAGATGAACCAAAAGGAAATTAAAATACACTAAAGCTCACCTTTCAGAGATAATTATTGATAACAACAGTTTATATATGTATATATTGATATATGGAATCATACAGTAAATCCTAATTAAGTAAACCTTTTATTAAATTATAATATAATCATTAATATCTTCCCATGTAAACAAATATAAATTAATAGAACAGTTTTAATAACTATGAAGTATTGCTCTCTCTGTTTCATAACTTAGCCATCCTAAAATGTAGGACTCACGTACAATTAAGATACTGTGGGTTACAGGTAAGACCCAATTAAAAGTCTCCAAAAACAATAAGGAACCTGATTGTATCATAACAAGAAGCCCTAGGTTGGGGCAGTTCCAGAGTTGGTTACTTCAGTGCCTTAACAATGTCGATAAGAGACCCAGATGCTTGTTTTTCTCTCCAACTTACAATTTTGCCATCCTCACTGGATTTGGCTGGTCTGCTTAGGTTGATTTTCCTCATGGTCCCAAAGTGGCAGTGGCAGTTCCAGCAGTCGCAGGCAGAGAAAATGCTGCTGGCCATAACCCTTGATAAGCTAGGGAAGCCTCATGTCTTGTGGGCCAGAATGGCTTCTCATGCCCATGACTGACCAGTCACTTGGTTAGGGGAAAAAGATCCCCGTGATTCGTTTAGACCAGTGAAGATTTACCTCCTAAGCGAGGGGAAACCAGTCCTGAAGAACATATGCACTTGGCGAGGGGTGAACACATCAGTGTTTCATCAGCAGGAAAGAAGTAGGGCTGGAAAATGCCCCTTAGGTAAGCAGCCGACAGTCCTCTCAGCAGGACATGTAGGCTTCCTGTCTGGTTTCTCTGCAGTTTCAACACTGTTGCAGCTTTTGACAATAATAATCTGATAGTCAGGCACTTTTCATGTGCTAGGAACTGTTGGTGACTCTTTGCCACCCCATGGACTGCAGCACGCCAGGCTCCCCTGTCCTTCACTGTGTCCTGGAGTTTTTCAAATTCATGTCCACTGAGTCGGTAATGCTACCTAACTATCTCGTTTTCTGCCATCTTCTTCTGATTTTGTCTGCAGTCTTTCCCAGCATCAGGGTCTCGGGAAAGATTGAAGGCAAGACCCGTATATAAAGGGAGTTGCTTTATGTAAATTCTCATTTCCTTCTCCAACAACCATGTAAGAAAGATATCATTATGCCCTTTGTACCCATGAGGAAACTGAGCCTCAACAAAGTTAAGCATCTTACTCAGAGAGCTGGAAGGGGGAAGAGTTTGCCTGGTTGTGTCCTGGAATTAAAGGAACACATGCTCATCAGGCAGAGGGGACCCCTTCCTCTGCTCTTCCTCAGCAGGTGGCCATCAGGCCAGGTCTCTGGGTCCCAGCCAGGGCAGAAACTCGCCGAGGAAACATCAGACTCTCCGCAGCTACTGCTTTGGGAAAACTCCTAAGATGGGCAGTTACCGTTGCTTTACTGTGAATTTTTTTGACACCCTTGTATTTCCAATGGGCAAGCAATTAGTCTTTGAACCCCTGTCTTAGTGTAGTTGGGTTGCTACAACAAACATACCATAAACATATGAGAAATGTTGATTTCTCGTAATGCTGGAGGCTGGGGAGCCCAAGATCAAGGCCCCAGCAGAGTCAGTGTCCACTTTGTGGTTCAAGGGTGGTGCCTTCTTGCCATGTCTTCACAGGGCAGAAGGACCAGGGATCTGTCAACTTAAAAGGATACACAATGTGAGAGTTGTGTGTTAAGTTTTATTTGGGCAAAATGAGGATTGCTTCCTAGGAGAGAGCTCTGAGAAGCTGCTCCAAAGAGATAGTGGGGGAAGGTCAATATCTTACAAAAGGTTTCCTGCTAGTCACTAGGAGCTGATGTCACCATGAAGGGATTTAGTGCTTCTCTTTGATGTGAGGAGATGCAAGGATTGGGATCGTGAAATCAACTCCTGAAAATAACTATCTGAAGACCTGTTCAACCAGTTTCCCTGGAGCATAAAGTGCCCCATCCCTGCTGTCTACCCTGAACTCCCTTCAGGGCATGGCAGAGGTCAACAGCTGCAGCTGCAGAGGCTTTAGTCCCCAACGAGGCAGATGCAAAGGCCCTTGTCAAGCACCAAACTGTCACTGACAGACCCCTGGGGTCTCTTTTATAAGGGTACCCATCCCAACATGAGGACTTCATCTCCAAGACCTGATCACCTCCCAGAGGCCCCATCTCCTAACACCATCACCTTGAAGGTTAAGATTTCAACATATAAACTTGGGTGTGAGGTACTCAAGATGCTCAAGTAGCGGCTTGTGTGTGTGCTGAGTCCTTTCAGTCGTGTCCGACTCTTTGTGACCCCATGGACTGTAGCCCACCAAGCTCCTCTGTCCATGGATTCTCTAGGCAAGAATAGTGGAGTGGGCTGGCATGCCCTCCTCCAGGGGATCTTCCCAACCCAGGGATCGAACCCACGTCTCTTATGTCTCCTGCATTAGCATGCGTGTTCTTTACCATTAGCGCCACCTGGGAAGCCCCCAGGAAACTCAGGAGAGAGATATAAACATTCCTTCTGCAGGAGCCCTCTTATACAGCAAGACTCTCTGACATACTTAATGTTCACAGAATGCTTGAAAAAGCAAGGTCATATTCCCAGACCATTTCCCAGCTAGCCGAATGATCGAGGCAGGCCACTTGGCTTTTAGGGGTGGAGTGGGGAGTGTTCTTCCTCACCTTTGAAGTAGGAAGCCTGGCCATACCAGCGTGGGAGCGTTGTTCCCAGCCTGGACAAGACTAATTGCGGAACCAAAAGCCACAGACGACAATAGCTAGGATGTGTCTCGGAGGCTCCTCAGTCAGAGTTTCCATTTGTGGTCTCACATGTCATGCCACTTCCTCCACTCATCCCAGAGCTTCCCTGAGCCAACTCAGGACTTGCTCCTTCACTGAAGCTTCCAGAGAAGTGCCTGGTGCTTACTATGAGAGATGGCGGCTCTCTCACAGAAGTGGGCCTTGCGGGAGTTGCTGTATATCGCTACCCCTGAAATCATTGTATTTTCTCTGGATTCTCCCCATCCCTTCAATGACTTACTCCAAAGGCATCAAGACCTTGGCTACACTTGAATTTAGCCTCATGGTTTTGTATGTTAATGTTCAAATGAAATGTCTGTGACCTCAGTTTCCTGTTTTCATTCCCAGTCGTCTATCAATGATGCTGCAGAATTCAAAGTAGTAGCCGATGCCATGAAAGTAATTGGCTTCAAACCCGAGGAGATTCAAACAGCGTATAAAATCTTGGCTACTATTCTTCACTTGGTGAGTGGGGACGCCTTTCAGAAGTTATCGCCTCCCTGTGGAGCTCGGATGTTCTTTCAGAAGGTTTGGGGTTTTGTAAAAAAGTAATTTATGTACAGAAAATTTCTCTGACATGTTGAAGAAATTACTGTATCTGTAGTTTCCTCCATCATTTTATAATGGTATGAGGGATTTTCCAAGCCACTGTAGGTTTTGAGACTGTGGCTTTCGTTTGCTGCCTTCTTGGTATGTTAGACTTTGAACTGGTTATTTTCAAAGGTAAAAGAATTCAGCAGTGATGTGACCACCCATGAAATAAGCTAAAATCTTTTGAACAGAGTAAACTTCTAATGGCATTTGAACCAGAATCACAGATTTCCAGAACTAGATTTTTATTGTCTCATTTTATAGATTGGAAATGAATGACTGGCGTAAAAGTACCCTCCACCCGCCCCAAAAACACAGCCAGTTCATCGCCGCCAATACTATGGACCACCCTGGCCCACTTGGGCACAAGTTATTTTCCACACATCACACTAAACTTAGAAGTAAAGAACTGTCAGTTGGAGTCTTTTCATTACTGTCTGTATTTATTAGAGATCTTGAAAACATAATGAACATGTAACCTGGTGGTAAGTGAGTGACAACATGAATACAAATCTGGAATACAAATGACTTTTCACTTTCCTGTGGAAAGATTAACCCTAAGTGAATCAGAAATGCACAGGACCTGGGATGTCCCTGGTGGTGCAGAATCCGCCTGCCCGTGTAGGGGACATGGGTTCTATCCCTGGTCCAGGAAAATCCCAGGTGTGCGGTGCACCTAAGCTCGTGCACCCCAAGTGCTGAGGCTGCATTCTAGAGCTCGTGCTCCCTTATAAGACAAGCCACCGCAGTGAGAAACAGGCACCCCGCAACGAAGAGTAGCCCCCGCTCACTGCAACTAGAGAAAGCCCACATGCAACAACAAAGACCCAGTGTAGCTCCCCCTCCAACAAAAAAAGACAGAAATGCTCAGGACCTATGTGAAAAATATTATATAGCCACATGTAAACAATCTCTTAAATCAATGTGTCAGACTGGGAAGACTTTAACATTCTAAATTATTTCATTGTTTCAACTAGTTTATAAATACAATGTGACAATAATGCTTCAGTATCCAAGGAAGAATTTTTTTTTCAGTTTACATAATGATTCTAGGATTTACTAGAACAATAAACATGTAATAAAAGTGAATAAAAAGAATAGTAGGGTAGGGGGAGCTGGGTGAAAGAGACACAACTAATTCCAGCTGTTTAAAATGATAGTAAAAGGGAGGAGCCAAGATGGCAGAGGAATAGGACAGGGAGACCACTTCCTCCCCTACAAATTCATCTAAAGAACAATTGAACGCTGAGTAAACTTCACAGAACAACTTCTGATCGCTAGCTGAGGACATCAGGCACCCAGAAAAGCAACCCATTGTCTTCGAAAGGAGGTAGGACAAAATATAACAGAAAAAGAGAGACAAAAGAGCTAGGGACGGAGACCCGTCCCGGGAAGGGAGTCTTAATAGAGGAAGTTTCCAAACACCAGGAAACCCTCTCACTGGCGGGTCTGGGGGAAGTTTTCGAATCTCGGAGAGCAACCTAACTGGGAGGAAAAATAAATAAAACCCACAGTTACGTGCCTAAAAGCAACTCCCAGCAGAAAAGTACCCCAGACGCCCGCATCCTCCACCAGCAAGTGTGGGTGGAACGGAGAGGAGCGGGCGGCATTGCTTAGGGTAAGGACTGGGCCTGAGTCCCCTGAGGACAATCTGAGGGAGCTTTTGTGAGTTACCAACTTAAACTGTGGGATAGCAAAAGAGAGAGAGAAAATTAACCGGCCGGAACACACTGCCGGCCGTTCGCAGAACAAAGGGTCTGAGCAAGTCGAGAAGAGCTAGCCGGCTGCGGGCTGGCCCAGCCCCGCCAGAGGCAGGAGGCAGGGGGGAGGGGAAAGGGGCAGGCTCGGCCCCAAGGGCTGCATCCCCTACCGCACTGCAGACAGGCCTCCAGTTTCTAACCAAAGACTTCCTGAGATTCTGGATGGGCGACATCCGCCGGGAGGGTCGCGGCTAAACTCAAGGTGCATGCACCCAACTGGCGCGGGCGGAAACTGAGGCTGGGGCCATGGAAGGGAGAAGGTGCACTGCACCCGGGGAGAGTGCGCCCGTCAAGCTCCTGGCTGTCTGAGCTTCTCAGGCCGGGTAAGGCACAAAACGCAGGCGCAACCGAATCTGCGCTTTTGCGGAGTACCCGAAAACTGGAACCGCACGCAACGCAGGGCCCGCTCCATATAGAGCAGCCGGGAGCCTGAGCAGTGTAGACGGGGAAAGCAGTTCCCCTCCCTCCCCGCAGCGCGACGGAACTAGCGAACCTGAACTAGAGACCACCCCTGCCCGCCTGTGTCAGGGTAGAAATTAGGCACTAAGGAGACCAGCAAACAGAAGCCAAATAAACCAAGGGAACGGCTTCAGAAGGGACCAGTGCAACAGATCAAAATCCCTGTAGGGAACACCGACTACACCGGAAGGGGCCTATAGATATCGAGAAGTGTAAACTGGAATGAGGAGCTATCTGAAACTGAACCGAACCCACACTAATCGCAACAGCTCCAGAGAAATTCCTAGATATATTTTTACCATTTTTTTCCTTCCTTTTCTTCTTTCTTTTTTTTCTTTTATTTTCTTTTAAAATTCCCTATTACTCCCCCATTACTCCTTAACTTTCATTTTCATATATTTTTACGATTTTTTTAATGAGGAAAAAATTTTTTTTCTTGTTTTTTTTTTCTCTTATTTTCTTTTAAAGTCCTCTATTACTCCTCTACTACTCCTTAATTTTCATTTTCATTTCACTATAACCTTGCAAAAAAAAAAAAGAGAAGCCCTATTTTTAAGCTGAACTCCATATATATTTCTAAGATTTTTTGTGTTTTTGTTTTTAATATTGTATTTTTAAGAGTCTAACCTCTACTCTAGATTTTTAATCTTTTTTTTTCAATATGTGATATAAATTTTGGACATTTAAGAATCCAGTATTCAGTTCCCATTTTTATTCAGGAGGGTGTTGATTACTCTCTCCCACTTTTGACTCTCTGTTTTCTACCTCAGAACACCTCTATTTCTTCCTTTCCCCTTCTCTTCCCAATCCAACTCTGTGAATCTCTGTGGGTGTCTGGGCTACGGAGAACACTCTGGGAACAGAGTACTTCGTAGATCTGTCTCTCTCCTCTTGAGTCCCCCTTTTTCTCCTCCTGCTCACCTCTATCTCCCTCCTCCCTCTCCTCTTCTTCATGTAACTCTGTGAACCTCTCTGGGTGTCCCTCACGGTGGAGAATCCTTTCACCATTAACCTAGAAGTTTTATTATCAGTGCTGTATAGTTGGAGAAGTCTTGAGACTACTGGAAGAATAAAACTGAAATCCAGAGGCAGGAGACTTAAGCCCAAAACCTGAGAACACCAGAAAACTCCTGACTACACGAAACATTAAGTAATAAGAGACCATCCAAAAGCCTCCATACCTACACTGAAACCAACCACCACCCAAGAGCCAGTAAGTTTCAGAGCAAGACATACCACACAAATTCTCCAGCAACACAGGAACATAGCCCTGAGTATCAACATACAGGCTGCCCAAAGTCACACCTAACACATAGACCCATCTCAAAACTCATTACTGGACACTCCATTGCACTCCAGAGAGAAGAAATCCAGTTCCATGCACCAGCACACCGATGCAAGCTTCCCTAACCAGGAAACCTTGACAAGCCAATCGTCCAACCCCACCCACTGGGTGAAACCTCCACAATAAAAAGGAACCACAGACCTCCAGAATACAGAAAGCCCACTCCAGACACAGCAATCTAAACAAGATGAAAAGGCAGAGAAATACCCAACAGGAAAAGGAACATGAAAACTGCCCACCAAGTCAAACAAAAGAGGAGGAGATAGGGAATCTACCTGAAAAAGAATTTAGAATAATGATACTAAAAATTATCCAAAATCTTGAAAACAAAATGGAGTTAGAGATAAATCACCTGGAGACAAAGATTGGGAAGATGCAAGAAATGTTTAATAAAGACCTAGAAGAAATAAAAGAGAGTCAATTAAAAATGAATAATGCAATAAATGAGATCAAAAACACTCTGGAGGGAACCAAGAGTAGAATAACGGAGACAGTAGATAGGATAAGTGAGATAGAAGATAAAATGGTGGAAATAAATGAAGTAGAGAGGAAAAAAGAAAAAAAGAATCAAAAGAAATGAGGACAACCTCAGGGACCCCTGGGACAATGTGAAACGCCCCAACATTCAAATCATAGGAGTCCCAGAAGAAGAAGACAGAAAGGCCATGAGAAAATACTCAAGGAGATAATAGCTGAAAACTTCCCTAAAATGGGGAAGGAAATAACCACCCAAGTCCAAGAAACCCAGAGAGACCCAAACAGGATAAACCCAATGCGAAACACCCCAAGACACATATTAATCAAATTAACAAAGATCAAACGCAAAGAACAAATATTAAAAGCAGCAAGGGAGAAACAACAAATAACACACAAAGGGATTCCCATAAGGATAACAGCTGATCTATCAATAGAAACCCTCCAGGCCAGAAGGGAATGGCAGCACATACTTAAAGTAATGAAAGAGAATAACCTACAACCTAGATTACTGTACCCAGCAAGGATCTCATTCAGATATGAAGGAGAATTCAAAAGCTTTACAGACAAACAAAAGCTGAGAGAATTCAGCACCACCAAACCAGCTCTTCAACAAATGCTAAAGGATATTTCTAGACAGGAAACACAGAAAGGTTGTATAAACATGAACCCAAATCAACAAACTAAATGGCAACGGGACCATACCTATCAATAATTACCTTAAATGTAAATGGGTTGAATTCCCCAACCAAAAGACAAAGACTGGCTGAATGGATACAAAAACAAGACCCCTATATATGCTGTCTACAAGAGACCCACCTCAAAACAAGGGACACATACAGACTAAAAGTGAAGGGCTGGAAAAAAATATTTCATGCAAACGGAGACCAAAAGAAAGCAGGAGTCGCAATACTCATATCAGATAAAATAGACTTTCAAATAAAGGCTGTGAAAAGAGACAAAGAAGGACACTACATAATGATCAAAGGATCAATCCAAGAAGATATAACAATTATAAATATATATGTACCCAACATAGGAGCACCACAATATGTAAGGCAAACGCTAACGAGTATGAAAGAGGAAATTAATAGAAACACAATAATAGTGGGAGACTTTAATACCCCACTCACAACTATGGATAGATCAACTAAACAGAAAATTAACAAGGAAACACAAACTTTAAATGACACAATGGACCAGCTAGACCTAATTGATATCTATAGGACATTTCACCCCAAAACAATCAACTTCACCTTTTTCTCAAGTGCACACGGAACCTTCTCCAGAATAGATCACATCCTGGGCCATAAATCTAGTCTTGGTAAATTCAAAAAAATTGAAATCATTCCAGTCATCTTTTCTGACCACAGTGCAGTAAGATTAGATCTCAATTACAGGAAAAAAATTATTAAAAATTCAAACATATGGAGGCTAAATAACACGCTTCTGAATAACCAACAAATCATAGAAGAAATCAAAAAAGAAATCAAAATATGCATAGAAATGAATGAAAATGAAAACACAACAACCCAAAACCTATGGGACACTGTAAAAGCAGTGCTAAGGGGAAGGTTCATAGCATTACAGGCTTACCTCAAGAAACAAGAAAAAAGTCAAACAAATAACCGAACTCTACACCTAAAGCAACTAGAGGAGGAAGAAATTAAGAACCCCAGGGTTAGTAGAAGGAAAGAAATCTTAAAAATTAGGGCAGAAATAAATGCAAGAAACTAAAGAGACCATAGCAAAAATCAACAAAGCTAAAAGCTGGTTTTTTGAAAAAATGAACAAAATTGACAAACCATTAACAAGACTCCTTAAGAAACAAAGGGAGAAGAACCAAATTAACAAAATTAGAAATGAAAATGGAGAGACCACAATAGACAACACTGAAATACAAAGGATCATAAGAGACTACTACCAGCAGCTCTATGCCAGTAAAATGGACAACTTGGAAGAAGTGGACAAATTCTTAGAAAAGTATAACTTTCCAAAACTGAACCAGAAAGAAATAGAAGATCTTAACAGACCCATCACAAGCAAGGAAATCAAAACTGTAATCAGAAATCTTCCAGCAAACAAAAGCCCAGGACCAGATGGCTTCACAGCTGAATTCTACCAAAAATTTAGAGAAGAGCTAACACCTATCCTACTCAAACTCTTCCAGAAAATTGCAGAAGAAGGTAAACTTCCAAACTCATTCTATGAGGCCACCATCACCCTAATTCCAAAACCAGACAAAGATGCCACAAAAAAAGAAAACTACAGGCCAATATCACTGATGAACATAGATGCAAAAATCCTTAACAAAATTCTAGCAATCAGAATCCAACAACATACTAAAAAAAATCATACACCATGACCAAGTGGGCTTTATCCCAGGAATGCAAGGATTCTTTAATATCCGCAAATCAATCAATGTAATACACCACATTAACAAATTGAAAGATAAAAACCATATGATTATCTCAATAGATGCAGAGAAAGCCTTTGACAAAATTCAACACCCATTTATGATTAAAACTCTCCAGAAAGCAGGAATAGAAGGAACATACCTCAACATAATAAAAGCTATATATGACAAACTCACAGTAAGCATTACCCTCAATGGTGAAAAATTGAAAGCATTTCCCCTAAAATCAGGAACAAGACAAGGGTGCCCACTCTCACCACTACTATTCAACATAGTTTTGGAAGTGTTGGCCACAGCAATCAGAGCAGAAAAAGAAGTAAAAGGAATCCAGATAGGAAAAGAAGAAGTGAAACTCTCGCTGTTTGCAGATGACATGATCCTCTACATAGAAAACCCTAAAGACTCTACTAGAAAATTACTAGAGATAATCAACGAATATAGTAAAGTTGCAGGATATAAAATTAACACACAGAAATCTCTTGCATTCCTATACACTAACAATGAGAAAACAGAAAGAGAAATTAAGGAAACAATACCATTCACCATTGCAACAAAAAGAATAAAATACTTAGGAGTATATCTACCTAAAGAAACAAAAGACCTATACATAGAAAACTATAAAACACTGATGAAAGAAATCAAAGAGGACACAAACAGATGGAGAAATATACCATGTTCATGGATTGGAAGAATCAATATTGTCAAAATGGCTATACTACCCAAAGCAATCTACAGATTCAATGCAATCCCTATCAAACTACCAATGGTATTTTTCACAGAACTAGAACAAATAATTTCACAATTTGTATGGAAATACAAAAAACCTCGAATAGCCAAATTAATCTTGAGAAAGAAGAATGGAACTGGAGGAATCAATCTGCCTGACTTCAGACTATACTACAAAGCCACAGTCATCAAGACAGTATGGTACTGGCACAAAGACAGAAACATAGATCAATGGAACAGAATAGAAAGCCCAGAGATAAATCCACAAACTTATGGACACCTTACCTTCAACAAAGGAGGCAAGAATATACAATGGAAAAAAGACAACCTCTTTAACAAGTGGTGCTGGGAAAACTGGTCAACCACTTGTAAAAGAATGAAACTAGAACACTTTCTAACACCATACACAAAAATAAACTCAAAATGGATTAAAGATCTAAATGTAAGACCAGAAACTATAAAACTCCTAGAGGAGAACATAGGCAAAACACTCTCCGATATAAATCACAACAGGATCCTCTATGACCCACCTCCCAGAATATTGGAAATAAAAGCAAAAGTAAACAAATGGGACCTAATGAAACTTAAAAGCTTTTGCACAACAAAGGAAACAATAAGCAAGGTGAAAAGACAGCCTTCAGAATGGGAGAAAATAATAGCAAATGAAGCAACAGACAAAGGATTAATCTCAAAAATATACAAGCAACTCCTGCAGCTCAATACAGAAAAATAAATGACCCAATCAAAAAATGGGCCGAAGAACTAAACAGACATTTCTCCAAAGAAGACATACAGATGGCTAACAAACACATGAAAAGATGCTCAACATCACTCATTATCAGAGAAATGCAAATCAAAACCACAATGAGGTACCATTACACGCCAGTCAGGATGGCTGCTATCCAAAAGTCTACAAGCAATAAATGCTGGAGAGGGTGTGGAGGAAAGGGAACCCTCTTACACTGTTGGTGGGAATGCAAACTAGTATAGCCACTATGGAGAACAATGTGGAGATTTCTTAAAAAACTAGAAATAGAACTGCCATATTACCCAGAAATCCCCCTCCTGGGCATACACACCGAGGAAACCAAATCTGAAAGAGACACGTGCACCCCAATGTTCATCGCAGCACTGTTTATAATAGCCAGGACATGGAAGCAACCTAGATGCCCATCAGCAGATGAATGGATGAGGAAGCTGTGGTACATATACACCATGGAATATTACTCAGCCATTAAAAAGAATTCATTTGAATCAGTTCTAATGAGATGGATGAAACTGGAGCCCATTATACAGAGCGAAGTAAGCCAGAAAGATAAAGAACATTACAGCATACATACATATATATGGAATTTAGAAAGATGGTAATGATAACCCTATATGCAAAACAGAAAAAGAGACACAGATGTACAGAACAGACTTTTGGACTCTGTGGGAGAAGGCGAGGGTGGATGTTTCGAGAGAACAGCATCAAAACATGTATATTATCTAGGGTGAAACAGATCACCAGCCCAGATTGGGTGCATGAGACAAGTGCTTGGGCCTGGTGCACTGGGAAGACCCAGAGGGATCGGGTAGAGAGGGAGGTGGGAGGGGGGATCGGGATGGGGAATACATGTAAATCCATGGCTGATTCATGTCAATGTATGACAAAAACCACTACAATATTGTAAAGTAATTAGCCTCCAACTAATAAAAATAAATGAAATAAATAAAATAAAATGATAGTAAAAGCCACGGTGCTTTAAAACTTGCTGCATAAGTTCAGCACCAGATTAATCAACAGATTAGTTCATGTGCTGGTTAGTTAGTTAGTAGCTGGCTAATATGTATGTATTGTTTCTTGAATGAGTAGAATATAAATAGACCCAAAAAATTGGTGGAAATTAACATGTAATAAAGGTTATATTTCAAATCAGGAGGAAAAGCTTAGACTATTCAGTTAATGGTTTTGGAGCAAGTAATCATCTGAAAAAATAAAGTTAGAGTCTTACTTTATACTGACATACCTTCTGGCTGGACTCAAGGCTTAAATATGAGGGAAAAAACTGTAAAAGGAATAGAAAAATCTATTAAATATTCATAAAATCTTCAGAGTTGGAATGATCTATGCATGACACCAAAGAAAGAGAAACCCTGAAGCAGATGACTTAGATTTGACTACATAAAAATATAAAATTTCCATCCATCAAAACCATACACTGAAAATGGAAAGATAGATGAGTGTCTGGAGAAGGACGAAATGGATGAAGCACCCAATTTTTATTTGTTGAGATATTAATGTATTTAGGAAGATCAGTGCTACAGACAAGGGAATTCTCTTGCACTGGCAAATCTTTCCCTGACATGGTTTTTCAGAATCTCATTGGAAACGGTGTGTCTTGGTCTTTCTCTTCCTATACAGGGAAATTTAAAGTTTGTAGTGGATGGTGACACCACTCTGATTGAAGACGGCAAGCTTGTATCTGTCATCGCAGAATTGCTGTCCACCAAGACGGACATGGTGGAGAAAGCCCTCCTCTACCGGACGGTGGCCACGGGCCGTGACATCATCGACAAGCAGCACAGTGAACAGGAAGCCAGCTACGGGAGGGACGCCTTCGCCAAGGTGCGGTGTTAACCGGTGTCCTGTTGGCCCTGTGAGGTTCTGGTACCAAATGTCTAATGAACCCCTGAGTTTCTGTTTCTAGTTATTTGTGGTTAGAAGTAGGGTGGCTTGGCGGTCAAGAATCCGCCTGCCAAGCAGGAAACGCAGTTCAATCCCTGGGTGGGGAAGATCCCCTGGAGAAGGCAATGGCAACCCACTCTAGTGTTCGTGCCTGGGAAATCCCTATGGGCAGAGGAGCCTGGCGGGCTACAGTCCATGGAATTGCAGAAGAGTTGCACATGGCTTAGCAGCTAAATGACAAGAAGGAACAGTTTGGGGGAGGTGGGAAGATCAGCAGTCCAGACGAGATGTAAGTTTGAGACAGCCGTGAGACATTCCAGATATGCTGCCAGGTAGGCAGTCAGACATGGGACCTGGAGCTCGGAGGAGAGCCTGCATTGAGACGGTACTTTTGGGGGGAAACGTCATGTCACTGTTGGGGAAACGTCATGTCACTGTTCTTTATTGTCGTATGAAATGACACAGCAAAGAGGAGATAGAGAAGAGAAGGGGACCAGGAGGAACTCCAGCTTTTAGGGGTCAGGTAGAGGAGATGGTTAGATAGCACCACTGTCTCAATCAATATGAATTTGAGCAAACTCAAGAGATAGTGGACCACAGAGGAGCCTGGCGTGCTGCAGTCCATGGGGTCGCAGAGTTGGTCACAACTTAGTGACTGAGCAACAACAAGAGAAGACCTACTAAAGGTCACCAAGAGGGAACAGCTGGTGAAATAAGAGGCACGTTAAGACAGTGTGATGTCATGAACCAGAGGGCAGAAAGTTTCAAGGCAAGAGTGGGAAACTGGGTTGAGTGTTGCTGAGTATCCAGGTAAGATGTCCACATAGAGATATGAGAAAGTGTCCATACAGACATGCTTGGGGTCCTTGATGAGCCATTTCAGTGGACTCATGAGAGAAAATGAAGACTGGAGTGGCTGGAAGAGGAGGTGAAGAGTGGAGGTCATGAGTATGGACATGTATGGGTGAAGAGAGTGGGAATCTGGAGGGACATGTTAAGGAAAGACTTTCTGTAGATGTGACGTTGCAGGACACATTTTTATCAGGATGTGAATGTGTGCGAGTGTGTGGTGCCTTTGTCCTTCCATGTTGGTGTGTGTGCCCTTGGGCATCAAATGTGTATTTGATCCTCAAGGAATTTGAAATGCTGTCCTTTTGGTTTAGATCTTTATTTAGCATTATAAATCAATGTTTATGTATTTAGAATCCATAGAATATAGAACTTGTTGGTTTTCTGCTTTTTATAAAATAAAACATCAAAGTGACTTATACAAGTTAGTAAGCAACTTATTGGTATTACCAGGTCACAGAAACACACCTAAGGAATTTTGTTGAAATATAGCTCACATAGTGACCAATAATAACCAAGATCCAAATGTCATGTAAACGTCATGTAGTTTTTTAGAAAATGGTCTTCATTTCTCATTTTTCAGCTTAAAGGGTTAACAGCTATGCTAAATGGTAAGGAGAAGGTCAATAGAAATTTAAAACATCACAAATCCAGGGCTTCGCTAGTGGCACAGTGGATAAGACTCCACCTGCCATTACATGACACGTGGGTTCAATCCCTGGTCCAGGAGGATCCCAAATGCCATGGAGCAACTGGGCTAGTGCGCCACAACTACAGAGCCTATTCTCTAGAGCCTGGAAGCTGCAGCTGTTGAGCTCACCTGCCGCAACTACTGAAACCCATGCGCCCTAGGGCCCTTGTGCCACAGTGAGGTGGGGTGGGGCCGGGGGGCTCTGCAATGAGAAGCCTACACGTCTCAGCAAAAACTAGCCCCCATTCCTTGCAACTAGAGAAGAGCCCACACAACAACAAAGAGCCAGAACAGTCAAAATGAATGAATGAATAAAATTTAAAAAAAAATCCAAACAGAGAACTCATTTCCAACGTGCAAGAATTTATGTGGTCATTTTCATCACAGGCCATATACGAGCGCCTTTTCTGTTGGATTGTTTCCCGCATCAATGATATTATTGAGGTCAAGAACTCAGACACCACCATCCATGGGAAGAACACTGTTATTGGTGTCTTGGATATCTATGGCTTTGAAATCTTCGACAACAACAGGTAAACTGGAGCAGATACTAAAAACCATATTGTTTTGTTGTTGTTGTTTTTTAAATTTGTTTGAGCCTAATTCTTTTTCTTGCAGCTTTGAGCAATTCTGCATCAATTACTGCAACGAGAAGCTCCAGCAGCTGTTTATTCAGCTGGTCCTGAAGCAAGAACAGGAGGAGTACCAGCGGGAAGGAATCCCCTGGAAGCACGTGAGTGGATTCATGATAAAGCCAACTTCTAGCATCCTAGGGGTCAGCTGATCTCCTTGGGTGCTTGAAACACAGCACCCTTAGCTTTCCTTTTGGGGTATGAACATACAATTCATTTTCAGAGTTGACAGGTGGGGTTTCTCTAATTTAATCAACTCTCTGTTTGGGACCCAGAAAAGGCTGAGTTAAAATCAGTAAACTTATGTTCACCTGATGGCTGATACCCCGTAGGTTTTTTTCTATTTTGTTTTTTCTTTCTAATTTTATTGAGGTATAATTGACATATAGCACTGTATAAGTTTTTGAGGAGAAAATGTCAACCCACTCCAGTATTCTTGCCTGGAAAATTTCAGGGCCAGAGGAGCCTGGTGGGCTACAGTTCATGGGGTTACAAAGAGTCAGACACGACTTAGCTACTGAGCATGTTCACATGCACTGTGTAAGTTTGAATTGTACAGTAAAGCAATTTGACTTAACGCACATCATGAAATGATTACCACAATGAATTTAGTCAATGTTCATCATCTTATATAGATATAAAAGAAAAGAAAAGAAATATTTTACATTGAAGTATAGTTGATTTACAATGTGTTAATTTCTGCTATAGAGCAAAGTGATTCAGTCATACATATATGCGTACATTTTTTAAAATATCCTTTCCCATTATGGCTTATCATAGGAAATTGAACCAGTTGTCTATGCTGTACCATAAGAACACATGGCTTTTTGGTTCACATCTGTCTGTTTGACTTTAGCATCCTTTATTAGTTATTCATAGCAGCAGCTTTTGCCTTCAATGGACAGAACTTGGCTTCCTAGTAGAGTTTCTTCTCCTTCCTTCCTTCTTTTTTTTGCTCTTATTCCTGTTTTTTCTTCCTCTGCTTAGTAAACTCAGTGGCACTTTGTTGTCTTTGGTTAATGAAGTTCATATTCCCTGGAACCAGTGCATGAAAACAGCTGTGATAACTTTGATTTCCTTTTAGTCTCTGCTGTGTCACATGACAGTTTCCCCCTCTCCTCTCGGGGCTCTCTGAGAACTTTGTCTTTGTCACTAGTCCGATAAGATGTAGGCAGACAGTTTGATTGATGCAGGGTACAATCCCACAGATCACAGCTAAAACCATGACCGTTAGACTTCCTGCTCATGATCGAAATGGGACTTTGTAATTTTCTTTGAAATTTTTATTATAAAACAATTTTGAGAACAGACTTAAAAAATTTAAAAACTTCTGAGTTTCCTTTTATTTCTGTGTTTATCCTTTTGCCAAGTATAGACAATGAAGTCCATATTTGTTTTCTGATACTCAGTGTAAGCAGTAAAAACCTATTTGAAATGCTGTATTTAAATTACTTTTATATTCCTTCCCAGCATCTTACTTTCTATCTCCTCTGATTCAGGAAAAGTAGATACTGGAAACATACATATATGATATATAATTACATATTATATATCTTATATATGTATATATGTGGTATAATAACTAGCTTTCCTGCTTTAAATTGCTTCTTTGCCTTCCATTGTGTTATATATTAGAATACCATAAAAAATTTTGTTCAAATATATTAGTATAAATATTACCTATTTACAAATAAACCAAGGGTGTACTATTGCTTTCTAATAGGATTGCCTATAGTTTTGATTTAAAGAGTGAATTCTCATCACATATTTAACATGTAATTCAATTAAGTTAATATGCAACTTTCATAGAATGAATCTGTTTCTCATAATACACAATTATAACTGGGGTTTAGGTTTTTATAACAAATTTAATCATAAAATTTGTTATTCAGATGTGGTTCAGAGATACTGGTCAAAAATATCCTTTAACAATCAGAACATCAAATTCCACAGGCATAGCTGATACAGGGAAAAGTCAACAATGGCAGGAGGCTATTCCAAACATATGAAAAGGGAGAAAAAAGCCCTTTAAAACAATTCTTAGTGAAATACACCAAGAGAAATATGTCCTAGAGGAAGCAGAAGACTCAAGGGTAACAGTTACTGAGGACAGGCCGAATGCCCAAATTAGAATCCCTGTTCTGGGCAAGTATTTCCTTTAAAAACCCCCAACTTACTGACATAGACACATTTGTTGTCGTTCAGTCAATAAGTCGTGTCTGACTCTTTGCGCTGCAGCATGCCAGGATTCCCTGTTGTTCACTATCTCCTGGCGTCTTCTCAAACTCATGTCCATCGACTTGGTGATCCATCCAACCATTTCATTCTTTGTTGTCGCCTTCTCCCCTTGCCCTCAATCTTGCCCAGCATCAGTGTCTTTTCTAAGAAGTTGGCTCTTCGCATCAAGTGGCCAAAGTGCTGGAGCTTTAGCATCAGTCCTTCCAGTGAATATTCAGGGTGGGTTTCCTTTAGGATTGACTGGTTTGATCTCCTTGCAGTCCAGGGGACTTTCAAGAATCTTCTCTAGCACCGCAGACACACTACTGTATATAAAACAGATAACTAATAAGGACCTACTGTGTGGCACAGGGAACTCTATTCAGTACCCTGTAATGATCTATATAGGAAAAGAATCTAAAAATGAGTGAATATATGTAACAGATTTACTTTGGCTTCCCAGGTGGTACAAGTGGTAAAGAGCACGCCTGCCAATGCAGGAGACATAAGAGACACAAGTTCAATCCCTAGGTTGGGAAGATCCCCTGGAGAAGGTCATGGCAACCCACTCCAGTGTTCATTCTTGCCTGGAGAATTCCATGGACTGAGGAGCATAGCAGGCTACAGTCCATGGGGTTGCAGAGATTCACACCCAACTGAGTGACTGACACACATCCAACTGATGCAGTCTGCAGTAAATCAGAAAGTAACACAGCATTGTAAATCAGCTATGCTGCAGGAAAAATTACTTAAAGTAAATAAAAAGTAAAAACTCCATCCCATCTGTTTGTCTCCTGCATCCCCTAAGAAACCTCTTGGGAATGCCAGGTTGCTGGAAGAACCTGATTGGAAAACCACAATTTTAGGCAATGCTTAAAGCAGCATTAAATTGTGAACCAAAAGCTACTGGACTCTTCAGCAAAGACTAATTACTTGTAGATAGCCAGCTGGAATTTGGGAAACAATTCTTTTGTCCTTAGGACAAAAGACTTAGTCTTTAATTCCACAGTTGCAAAGTCTAAGATTTCAGCTATGTGGATGAATATAGAGTTCCTACTTTTTGAACATTTTAAGAATATTTTTTCCAAAGATACAAATAACTTTTTTCCCTGGTGAGAAATGTAATAAATTACCCACAAGAAAAGTAAACACTTAGACCAGGACTGATCTGTCTCTGTACTAACATTTTGTACCAAGCCTGTCCTGTGCGTCGTAGGACGTTTAGCAGTATCCTGGCCTCCTCCTACTGGATGCCAGTCGCATTCCATTAGTCATGACCGTCAAAAACGTCTCCAGACATTGCCAGATGCCCTAGGGGTTCCGGGGGAAGTCACACTCCATTGAATATCACTGATTTAGACAAACCGGAAAAATATAAAGAAAGTAAAAGCCACCCAGTTTGCAGACTTTGAGTTCGTGGAATACAGAGGAGGGCTTGGAAAACTAGAGGTGGAGCTGAAAGCCACAGCTGGCATGAGCCGTGAGATTTTTAAACACCATTGAACAGGGATCCATGAGACATAGAAATCATCTATTGTGTGTGTGTCCGTTTTAGAGAGGGTAATGGAGACAACTCTCCCATCAGGCACCTGCTGAGTGATCTGGGACACATCAACACACAAGACTGAAGTGTATAGACTGCCCGTCTTCACGTGATGCACATCTTGCCTGAGTCAGGCCCATGCGTGCTCTCTCTCTGAGTGTGGCGATGTAGATGCTGCAGGCTCTCAGAATAAACGGGCTTCCCTGGTAGCTTAGCCGATAAAAAGTCTGCCTGCAGTGCAGACCTGGGTCCGATTCCTGGGATAGGAAGAGCCCCTGGAGGAGAAAATGGCAACCCACTCCAGTATTCTCGCCTGGAAAATTCCATGGACAGAAGAGCCTGGTGGGCTACAGTCTATGGGGTTGCAAAGAGTTGGACACAACTGAGTGACTAGCACTTTCACAATTCCATCAGAAGAAACAAGTGTAGAAGAGGATTATGATACATACCTTGTATGTCTTGAAGTAGAGAAAGATTGAGAAGTTGTTTATAACTTTTTTTCAGCTTGTGGAAGCAAATGAAAAGTGTATTCTTACCCTTTATGGGTCCTTATATCTGATAATTAAATTTTTTATATTGTACCCTGAAAAACTCTGTTAGATCCATATGTGCTTTTTAACTTTTGGGAAACTGGAGGAGACACTCTGACATTTTGGTCAGCCAGGGTCATGTAACTAAAAATGCAAGTTCTGTGTAACACCTTAACTTCATCAAGTTAGGTATAAAGTAATACTTCCAGGTTATTTGTGGGCACCTAGTGGAATAGGGGGGCTTCCCTGGTGGCTCAGATGGTAAAGAATCCACCTGCAATGCAGGAGACCTGGGTTCGATCCCTGGCTTGGGAAAATCCCCTGGAGGAGGCCATGGCAACCCACTCCAGTATTCTAGCCTGGAGAATCCCCATGGGCAGAGGAGCCTGGCAGACCACAGTCTATGGGGTCACAAAGAGTTGGGACACGACTGAGTGGCTCAGCACAGCAAATTAACAGCCAACAGATGAAGGGATTGACAGTATGAAGAGTAAGGTTAGGTGCCAGGTATGAAGACAGGATTAAAATAAGACTTAGTGAAGGAAGAAACATTATCTACTTTATACTTTTCACCTTGAGCTGTACAGTAAGTCCCCTACATACAAACCTTCAGGTTGCAAACTTTTAAAAATGCAAATGTTCACACCAGCCCCTGTGTGCCAGCTATTGTACTACTCTACTTTCAAGGTACTGTACTATAAGATGCAAAATGTTTATTTTTTGTGTTTGTTCATTTTTTATGTGTGTATTATTTATGTGAAGAATATTATAAACCTATTGTAGTACAGTACTATATAGCCGATTGTGTTAGCTGCGTACCTCAGTTAACTTTATTGGTCTTACAATCACTCTGAGAATGAACCTCTTTCGTTTGTAGGGGACTTGCTGTGTTCATTTAAGGCAATTTTTAAAATATCTTGACCAAGCTGTGCAGCCTGTGGGATCTCGGTTCCCTGACCAGGAATTGAACCAGGGCCACCGCAGTGAGAAGTGCCAAATCCTAACTACTAAACCACTAGGGAACTCCCAAGACAAAATGTTTTATGATACAAAGTCAATAAATACATCTGTTAAAAAACCTCTGTTAGAACGTGTACTCATTTTAGCATCGAAAGTGTTAGTCGCTCAGTCATGTCCCACTCTTTGTGACCCCATGAACTGTAGCCCGCCAGGCTCCTCTGTCCAGGGGATTCTCCAGGCAGGAACACTGGAGTGGGTTGCCATTCCCTTCTCCAGGGGATCTTCCCAACCCAGGGACTGAACCCAGGTCTCCTGCATTGCAGTCAGATTCTTTACCATCTGAGCCACCAGGGAAGCCTCATGAAATGTGATTTACATATCTGACATCAAAGTGACTTGAACTCCTGATACATGTGGAGGCACTGGTGTTGCACCTGGTCACCATTCCGTCAGTAACTGGCTCTTTGCTGTGTCCTCCAGATTGATTACTTCAACAATCAGATCATCGTGGACCTGGTGGAGCAGCAGCACAAGGGGATCATTGCCATCCTCGATGATGCCTGCATGAACGTCGGCAAAGTCACCGATGAGATGTTCCTAGAAGCACTTAACAGTAAACTGGGCAAACACGGTCATTTTTCCAGCCGCAAGGTACTGTGTATAATGAGAACGTCCTCTCATTGTGATACATACGATTTTCCTTATTGTTTGACAGAATCAAATGAATTTTTATGTTGGGGTACAAGAATGTCCACATGAGTATGAAAGGCCAAACATCCCCTTATTTATTGCTGTGGATAAGTTCTACCTCTCTGGTTTATTGGGATGATGATGTTGTTATTGTTCAGTCAAGTCCAACTCTTTACGACCCAATGGACTGCAGCACGGCAGGCTTCCCTGTCCTTCACCATCTCCCAGAGCTTGCTCAAACTCATGTCCATCGAGTCAGTGATGCCACCCAACCATATCATCTTCTGTCATCCCCTTCTCCTGCTTTCAATCTTTCCCAGCATCAGGGTCTTTTCTAATGAGTCAGCCCTTCGCATCAGGTGGCCAAAGTATTGGAGCTTCAGCATCAGTTCTTTCAATGAATATTCAGGGTTGATTTCCTTTAGGATTGACTGATTTCATCTCCTTGTTGTCCAAGGGACTCTCAAGAGTCTTCTTCAGCACCACAGTTCAAAAGCTTTAATTCTTTGGTGCTCAGCCTTCTTTATGGGATGATGTGATTGATAAAATTCATAATGTCCAGGAGAGGGCTCTCTAGACTACTCAATTTGCTAGAAAGGAAAAATGAACACAATTCTTTAGAAAGCATGATGTCATTTATAACCAATAGGTACAGAGACCTTGTTCATGTGCTAGAATTTTGCTCCTTCATCCGATAATTATGGCACTGAAAATAGCTTTTGTCCTTGACTTTTTACTGTAATCCTCAGTTATAAAAATATAGTATGTGTGCTCTGCTCTAGTTCTTCAGACTATGTGACTTTCTTTGAAAACGAGAAATTCTAGCTGAAATTCTCATGTTACAAGGAAACTCATTCCTTAAATAAATGGGTGTCCTTTTTAACTCCCTATTTTTCACATTCTAAAAATGTTACAAACCGATCATGTTTCTATGATAACTGGTGGCAGTTGTGGTGATCAGACCTTTGTGCTGTGCCTTGTGTATAGTATGTTTGCCATGATATTTGTCCTAGGAGAGACACACCATCATCCCCAGGTGTTCGCTATAAATATAGGCTTGTCTAGTAACCATAAGCTGAAGGAAAAACAGGCCTTGTTCTTCTTCACTTCCGCGAAGAAAGGGTCAAACGTTTCTGCTCCTCCATAATTCCATGTAAATCTGTGACGCACTGCCATTTTTTAGTATGAATAAATCTATATTCTAACTTTGTCCCTTTTGACATTATGTAATCAGAACAGTAAGATTCCACAGTTAACTAGAGAAAGCACAAATCATCAAGAAATAGATTACTGGCTGATATTTATTTTAGATCAGTTTATTTCTAAAACATTCTCCTTGGTCTATTATTGAAGACTAGCTTGCAGCCTCTGCTCTAAGTTGGCTTTCAGATACTATGATCTTATCTTTGTTTTAATTTTTACATTCGGTCACACTGCATGGCATGTGGAATCTAGTTTCCCGACCAGGCACTGAACCTGCACCCCCTGCATTGGAAGCACGGAGTCTTAACCTCTGGACCACCAGGAAAGTCCCTATAGTCTGATCTTTGACATAAGGGTTCCAGCTAGAGTTATTCCTCCAGTCATTTCCTGTTTATAACACAAATACTGAATAAGTGCCTCTCATTTTCCAGATACAATCATGAAGGCTGGGGACAGAACAGTAAGCAAAGTTAGAAGCCACATGAATAATTTAGAGTGATGCTTTCAAAAATGGCACAGTGACAGGGGCAAATGTCCCATCTCTGAGGGGTTGAGTAAAAATGTCCTTTATAATCATAATTCAGATTTTGGAGATTCGCCTCGTATTATGTCTACCAGATGGTAGACAATCCTTGTGTATCAAATCGAATTGGATTGGTCACGATCATACCAAATAAATTTTAGGAAATATTGAATTCTGAATTATAAAACAGGCAACTCTCTGTATTATTAGATAAACAACTATGATTCTCACATGAGAAATCGCTTCATTTTGTTATGTTTCACCTTGGCCATTTATGTACCTGAATGTGTCAGCCAGATATTTCAAGTCAAAGCTGTTCATGCAGTACTTTTAAGCAGTAACTGCTGACTTGATTGGCTAAATAGTAATTTATCTGTGAAGATGGAAATGTTCTTTTCTTCCCTTTAATGTGGGAGCCCAGGTTCTCCCAACTCTCAGGCCAGGTGGCTTCTTTCTCCCTCAGCAGCAGCATCTCTCAGACAAATCTTGAGATGGAAATTTTTTGTGTGCTCTTTTCTGGGAGTTTTGCCTAATGAAGGAAAGAAATGAAATAACCAATCTGTCAGGATATTTTCATCACTGTGAGCCTTTCCATTAAACAAATGCTATTATCCTGTATGTCACAGCAGGTCTTTTCATTCATTATTGGTTACTAATGATTAATTACTTTTATTGGCAGGTTAAAGAAGAGGTTTCTGGCTTGTGTTTATTTAGGGGCTAAATTGTTCGTCATGCATTAAAGTTATCATGCAGAGGCAGACAGATGATCCAATAAACTATAAAATTACTGTTAAAAGTACTGTTAACATGTAAAGTTGAATGATAAATAGGTTTTATTATTTTTAAAAAAGTAAAGAAAAATCTATGTTTAGATCAGTTAAGACTTTGCAGTATGGAAATGTAAGAATATTCAATTAGTATAGATGTCTCTTGAGTCCTTTTCCTTTGGGAGTTTTATAAGTAGAAGGGTTTTGTAAAAGTGGTTGATAAGAGAGGGAAGGAGAGAGGAATTAAATATTTCAGAGACCCCTCTGAATGTTAGATGTTTTGTTCTCCATAGTTGGCTTAACCTCTAGAACAACTCTGCAATAAGTGATTACTGAGGGAAAGAGAGCATATAGATGGTAGAGACAAGACTGCAACCTCAGAAGTCTGACTCTAACTTCCTGTAATTATTAATTTGTTGAATTAATAGACTAATTATTCCCTTAACAGTCTACATCCACAGAGAACCCACCATCCTGGTTGGGGCTGTTTGTTATCTAACATGACAAGCCAAGTGATGTTTGTACATAACCATACTCAATGCGTATGGATTTTTTTTTTTTAATGTTTTTAATGTTGACCATTTTTAAAGTCTTTATATTGCTTCTGTTTTATGTTTTGTTTTTTTGGCTGTGAAGCACTGTGGAATCTTAGCTCCCCAACCAGAGATCAAACCCACATCTCCTGCATTGGAAAGTGCAGTTTTAACCAGTGGACCGCCAGGGAAGTCCCAATAGTTATGGATTCTTAAACATGCGCTTTTGAACCTAAAGGGTATCAAGTGATCCTTTACAGGGTGGTCAAAGAATCTAGGTTCTTCTGTAATAAGGAAATTGCAGAAACTTATGGAGATCCAGGGCTATATAAAAACTGCCTTCTCAGAGAGGTCCTCTTCAGTGAGAAACAGCTGCAGAAGGTTGATCTTCTGTGCAGTGGTAGACCTGGAGTCCCAGCTTAGCAGAAGACGGGTGAGCCAGGCTGGAGTATGGACATGGCATTTGGTCCCAAGAATTCCTCCCAGAGCTATCATTTATCAGCTGCAGGACCTTGGACCAGTTACCTAACCCGCTTGAGGCTTAGTTTTCATGTATGTAAAAGAGAATCCATAATCCTTAGTTTAAATATCAGTTGTGAACATTGAATGAGATACCATGCTTAGAAGATGGCACGTCCTCAAAATGGTCTTCTTTAAGTGGGACATGGAGGAGAGAGAGGCTCTACCAGTCCAGGTTGGCTGGGCTGTGTTAACAGCCGAGATTTAAGTGTCATAGACAGCAGAAGTCTCTTTCTCTCCCAGGGTCCCAGGCTTCTCCCATCTTCAGGCTCTTCCATCCCCTCAGGACTATCCTTCTCTGCATCCAACTAGTGGGAGGTGAGGAGAAAGTACAGAGGAGAATCACCCACTTCTTACAGCTTTGACCTTGAAGAACCTTATCCCCTCACACTCACCTTCCATTGTCCAGAGCTTGGTCACCCAGCTATTCCCAGTCACCAAGGTGGCCAGGAAATGCAGTCTGGCTCTGTGCACTTCAGGGGGAAAAGTTCTCAATCTTTACCACATTTGCCAAATTAAAGCCCCACACACTGGAACTTCATTCATAATGATATCATGATTTGTGACATGATTATCCTCTCCTATTAAGTTGGAATATATTTTTAGGAAAGTGAAAATGTCTGTTTTCAAGATCATCTCCTTCCTTCTTGATTCCTTAGCTCTGCGCCTCAGACAAGATCCTGGAGTTTGATCGAGATTTTCGAATTCGACATTATGCAGGGGATGTGGTGTAAGTATCTCACTCCGGTGCCTGACGTGGTGGTTTGCATGCAGCCTCACTGCAGAAGATACAATCAAGGGAAATAGAAATTGTTTTCCTATTCGTTTGCATTTTACAGCCATTTCTGATGCCAATATATTTTAATTTCTTCACTTACAACATTGGCATAGCTTCATTCATTCCTTGCTTTTCAAACATTTGTTAAAGACACATCATGTGTGGCCATACACAGTTTCTGGCATAGTTGACATTCGGTCAACATCAACTGATGGTTAAATAAACCATGGAAGTATGTTAGGATTTGGGATAGAAAGATGAGAAACATGGCCTATGCCCTGAAGAAGCTAACAGCTTAGTGGAGGACACAGGCAGATGCATGATAAGTCATGATAATGAAGAGCAGAAAGGGATAAACTGGAGACATACAAGGCATTATGGGGACACTGTTGTTTGTTTGTTGTGTAGTTGCTGAGTTATGTCCAATTCTTTGCCACCCCATGGACTGTAGCCCACCAGCCTCCTCTGTCCATGGGATTTCCCAGGCAAGAATACAGGAGTGGGTTGTCATTTCCTTCTCCAGGAGATCTTCCTGACCCAGGGATTGAACCCACATCTCCTGCATTGGCAGCTGGGTTCTTCATCACCGAGCCACCAGGGAAGCCTTGTGGGAACACTGAGGAGGAATAATTAACCCAGAGTGAGGAGTGTAGTCAAGCCTTGAAGGAAGTGATATTCCAGATGAGCCTAGAAAGTAAAAGAGGCTTAGTCGGAAGACAGAATTAGGAAGAGGAGGAGATGAGAGGGCATTCCAAGCAGAGAGACAGCAGGCATGCAGGCCCAGAAGTGAGAGTCATCACTATACATGAAGAACTACTGGTAGTTGGGTAACTATATGAGCAAAAAAACGGTTTTCCCATATGATTTTTCACATATTATTCAAAAAAGTAAAATTCTCACAAGCTACATTTTCTGGCTTAGTGTGATAAAAATAGAAATTGGTAAGAAAATAAAACTAAAAACATATAACTTCCTTAGTCTTTTAATTTCCTAGGGTTTCTATAAAAAATGACCACAAATTGGTGGCTTAAAACAACAGAAATGTATTCTTTCATGGTTCTTCCTGACCCAGGGATTGAACCCAGGTCTCCTGCATTGCAGGCAGATTCTCTACCATCTGAGCCATCAGGGATGCCCCGTTCTGGAGGCCACAAGCTCGAAATCTAGGTGCTGGCAGGGCCACACTCCGGATGCTTTAGAGGAATATTGTTTCTCGCTTTCTTCATCATCTGGTGGCTGCCTGCTCTCCTTGGCTTGTGACTGTTATCACTCCAGTCTCTGCCTCCATGGTCACACTGCCACCTCCTGCTCTCCTTGGCTTGTGACTGTTATCACTCCAGTCTCTGCCTCCGTGGTCACACTGCCACCTCCTGCTCTCCTTGCCTTGTGACTGTTATCACTCCAGTCTCTGCCTCCGTGGTCACACTGCCACCTCCTGCTCTCCTTGCCTTGTGACTGTTATCACTCCAGTCTCTGCCTCCGTGGTCACACTGCCACCTCCTGCTCTCCTTGCCTTGTGACTGTTATCACTCCAGTCTCTGCCTCCGTGGTCACACTGCCACCTCCTGCTCTCCTTGCCTTGTGACTGTTATCACTCCAGTCTCTGCCTCCGTGGTCACACTGCCACCTCCTGCTCTCCTTGCCTTGTGACTGTTATCACTCCAGTCTCTGCCTCCGTGGTCACACTGCCACCTCCTGCTCTCCTTGCCTTGTGACTGTTATCACTCCAGTCTCTGCCTCCGTGGTCACACTGCCACCTCCTGCTCTCCTTGCCTTGTGACTGTTATCACTCCAGTCTCTGCCTCCGTGGTCACACTGCCACCTCCTGCTCTCCTTGCCTTGTGACTGTTATCACTCCAGTCTCTGCCTCCGTGGTCACACTGCCACCTCCTGCTCTCCTTGCCTTGTGACTGTTATCACTCCAGTCTCTGCCTCCGTGGTCACACTGCCACCTCCTGCTCTCCTTGCCTTGTGACTGTTATCACTCCAGTCTCTGCCTCCGTGGTCACACTGCCACCTCCTGCTCTCCTTGCCTTGTGACTGTTATCACTCCAGTCTCTGCCTCCGTGGTCACACTGCCACCTCCTGCTCTCCTTGCCTTGTGACTGTTATCACTCCAGTCTCTGCCTCCGTGGTCACACTGCCACCTCCTGCTCTCCTTGCCTTGTGACTGTTATCACTCCAGTCTCTGCCTCCGTGGTCACACTGCCACCTCCTGCTCTCCTTGCCTTGTGACTGTTATCACTCCAGTCTCTGCCTCCGTGGTCACACTGCCACCTCCTGCTCTCCTTGCCTTGTGACTGTTATCACTCCAGTCTCTGCCTCCGTGGTCACACTGCCACCTCCTCTTTGCGGTGTCTGTATTTAATCTCCCTCTGTTGCTGTTTTAAAGCTACACTTGTGAATGCCTTTAAGGCCCCCCTGAATAACATGAGATGAATTTCTTCTCCCAGGATCCTCAGTGTAATCACATCTTTAACCATACAAGGTAATATTCACAGTTTCCAGGGAATTTGGCAAGGCTTCTCTGATGGCTCAGACGGTAAAGAATCTGTCTGCAATGCAGGAGACCTGGGTTCGATCCCTGGGTTGGGAAGATTCCCCTGGAGGAGGGCATGGCAGCCCACTCCAGAATTCTTGCCTGGAGAATCCCCGTGGACAGAGGACCCTGGCGAGCTACAGTCCATGGGGTCGCAAACAGTGGGACACAACTGAGTGGCTAAGCAGAGCACAGCACATCTTTCACGGGAGGCGTTTTTCAGTCTGCTACACTTAGCATGCTTTGTCCACCCACCCTGCTTATTGTCTGGTTTTTGTCTCAAGTCCCCTCTTTTCCTTTCTCCTTATTTTTGATGTTGGGAATTCTATTCACATAACCCATTACAGGCAGAGATTAAACAACAAAAATGGAAATGATCATCTCTATAAATGCCAAAGAGGCATTTGAAGAAACTTTAATAGCTGTTCCTGATTTAAATTACAACTCTAGAATCATAAAATAATACGGCTCAAAATTATCACCCCCATCTGTCAAACTAGCCATTCGCGCCGGGGTGGCACCATTTTCCACTTTTTCTGGTGCTGTTTCCAGATCCCAGAATCCTGAAGAGGGAAGATCTGGTGATATACAGCTACCCGCCTCTGACCACCCAGGCCACACTCACTGGGTGCTCTTTTACGGCTTGCATCAGCGTAACTGCAGAGCTGGACAGAGGCCTTAGAGGCCACGCGGGGCAGCCGCTGTTTCACAGATGGAGACATTTATGCAGAGTGTGTAGCATTCTTTCCCAGCATCAGACAGCAAGTTTACCGAATAGCTGAGACAATACCTAGGTGTTCAGACTCCCATACCAGAGAGTTAGCCAGCCCCATAGAGGAATATTTGATGTCTCTGATTCCCCTTCTCTCTCTCCTTAAGCCTTTCAACCCTTTTCTAGATTTTTACTGGGTGTCTTCTGTGTGCCCAATACTTTATAAAGTATGGTCCCTGCTCATAAAGAGCTTTCCATGTAAAATGCATACATACATGTGTAGGTTTGTGTGTGTATTAACACACAGTATTAACACACACATGCACGTGTGTGTGTGTGTGTGTGTGTGTGTGTACTGTAGCCCACCAGGTTCCTCTGTCCATGGGATTCTCCAGGCAAGAATACTGGAGTGGGTTGCCCATGGCCTCCTCCAGGGCATCTTCCCAACCCAGGGATCAAATCCAGGTTTTCTGTGTTGCCAGCGGATCCTTTTCCATCTGAGCCACCGGGGAAACCCAAGAATACTGGGGTGGGTAGCCTATCCCTTCTCCACAGGATCTTCCCGACCCAGGAATCAAACTGGGGTCTCCTGCATAGAAGGCGGATTCTTTACCAGCTGAGCAGGGAAGCCCCATGTAGATGTAGATGTATATACACACACATATACATGCACACATTTGAATATATAGGATAATACAATAAAATATGGTTGAAAATAATTTCCATATGAATAATAACATGTGTTTTCAGAATAAGCAAATACTTTTAACTGTGATTGATAAACCCAGATAGGCAGATGCTGATTGTTAGGTGCTAGGAATTATTTTTCTAGGAAAAAGTGGGAAAGATGCTAGAAAGATTCAGGAAGTAGCACCTTAGCCCATTTGACTGGAGTGTATCCTTTTGGTGGCATAGAGAAGTAGAAACACCTAGAAAAGTAGATTGAGATCAAATCACAATGAGTCTAAAAGGTCCAAATAAGGACTTTGAATTGTATGGGTCTGATGATATATTAAGAGTCAGGTGACTTTAAGGGTTCAGTCAAAAGTGACTTGAAGGTAGTAGGAAGAAGACCAGGGTTGGAGGAGGCAGGGAAATGATTTTGAACCTGGTGGCCTAAAACTGTGCCCATGGGCAGCACGGAACTTTCTTGCAGAATGAAACATGAGCGGCTGGAACAATGTAAGACTGGTGAGGCATCAGAGTTAGAGATCTGAGAATTGTCTACAGCAAGGGTCCCCAGCCTCTGGGGTTTAATGCCTGATGATCTGAAGTGGAGCTGATGTAATAACAATAGAAATAGAGTGCACAATGCATGTAATTCAGTTGAATCATCCTGAAACCATCACCTACCCCCACCCCAGTCCATGGAAAAAATTGTCTTCCACAAAACCAGTCCCTGGTGCCGAAAAGGTTGGGGACCGCTGGTCTGCAGTGATGTGATTGTCCAGGAAGAAACTACAGTCAGGCAAGATAGGAGAGCTATAGGAAGCAGCCACCTCTAGAGTTACTGTTTCCCTAACCTCTTAGCCTGTCTTGATCACACAGAATCACCCCGTACTGTTATCCCCTCCCCACAATTTACTCCCTCTAGATCCATGCCAGTGACTGCAGCAGGCAGCTCCTGTCCCTCCCTTGGCCGCCAGCTACAAGTTTAGCTTTGAGACCTTACTCACATCCCACCCTCCACACCATGAATACTGACCTTCTCATTTCCTCCCAACAATTCCACGCATGTGCCTGCTTCTACGCCTTCGTTTAATGTTGCCCTGTGTAATCTGCCTTCCTCTTTCTCTTCTGCTTACCCCAATCTTACCATCCTTTGCAGTTCTTCTTGGATCTTTTCTCCCACCCTGAACACAGTGAGCGAGCCTTAGGCAAGTCATCTCACCTCCCCACGGATGAGACTCTTAGATCCTGTACGTTGCTGTTTTGCTTTTATCTTAGGAATATGGGATGGCACACACAGCTGTCTTTTTAAGAGTCAGCATCTCGAGGTAAGCCACAAACCAGTGGAGTGATGATCTTAGTCGTAGTGATGGCACTGATGTTTGCCCTCCTTTTCAGGGACAGAAACATCACCCTGTCTACAGAGTAGGTAAATTTGATCTTCTTTAACTCAGAACTGGGTGGGCAAGCTTTATACACAATCGATGGTCTTATGTAACAGTAGAAAGGCTCGTAGACTTCTAGAAAAGCTTAAAAATGGCTCTCGCTTGGTGAATAATGTTTTTCCATGTTTCTTTTTTCTCAACTAGGTATTCTGTCGTTGGTTTTATTGACAAAAACAAAGACACTTTATTTCAAGATTTCAAGCGCCTCATGTATAACAGGTAGGATTAAAATTTTATTAATCGTCTTTATATTTAGCTTGCTGACACATTTATTATGTAATATGTATGCACATGATTATTTCTGTGTGACAATTTTAAGAGTTTTCTGGCAATTTTTATACTTCTGTGTGATCATACTTAGTGAGTGCAATCATCTGTTACTTGATGATGAAAAAATCTGTAAACTTAGGGCAGGGACCCTGTTACAATACAGTGTTCCTCGGTTTCCCTTGGGTTTCCTCAGTTTCTCTCTTTACTGTTGCCGTCCTTCTTGTCCCTGACAGTGTACGCAGCAGTCCCCAGGCCAGGGCAGTGCGGTGGGAGGGTGTCAGGTAAGCTCTGGGCCAGCCGAAAGCTTTACACACTCTGATTCCCACTGTAGTGTCTTTGCCTCCAGCCAAGGGACCACCCTAATAATAGAGTGGCTGTCACGTCAGAGTGGATAGAATCTTCTCACAACCCAAGAAAATGTGAAAAAGTCATGGAGAAATAAAACCAAGCAAAGGATGGCATGTTCACATCTGGTACAAATACTTTGGAAAGAAGGCCCATGAAGAAGAGAAGCTTCCTAGCCAGCTGCTTCTTTTGGTTGAAGTGTCATTGCTCATGTATTAAGTCAGCTCAGCCCATTGGCCAGTAGGTCATCAAAGATGTATGGAGCACCTCTGAGCCACACATTCCCCTATGCTCTTGGGGTTCAGCTGTTGAAAAAACCTGGACAAAGTCCCTGCCCTCCTGAGATCTTTTATTCTAGTGGAGATGACAGTTAATGATAAAAGATGGAGCTTTCAGCTAGTGTCAAGTGCTATGAAGAAAAACAAAGTTAGGTGAGAGGTTGAGGGTATAGACCAAGAAGGGCCATGGAGGTGTTACAGGTAGTGTGGTAGGAAAAGGCTCCTTCTTTTAAGAAGGATCATTTGAACTGAGCCCAGAGTGAAGTGCAGGTGCAAACCGTGAGTATGGGGGGACAGCATTCAAACAGAGAGAAAGACTAGTTCACCAAGATGCTGAGGTGGAATCAAGCCTGGGTGTGTTGACAGCAGGAAGGTCAGTGTGGCTAAAATCCGTGAGGGGAGGGGAGAACGATCAGGAATGACTGCAGAGGGGTCCACAGGCCCAGCTCATGAAGAGTCCATGAGCAGGTACAATGGGAAGCCATTGGAATGGATGATATGATGTCTGTTCTAAAGAAATCACTGGAACCACTGTTATTAAAACCCAGATTGTGAAGGGCAGGAGTAAACATGGGGAGACCAGATAGGAGGCTGGTTTAGTGATCCAGGCTGAGACATGGATGGTGGTGACAGAAATGGAAAATGGTCCAAGTGGGTGATATTTTGAAAGTAGAACCAACAGGATTTACTGATGGATAGAATGTGTGATGGGAAAAAAACAGAAGTCAAAGACGATGGGGACGGGATGCTTGGTTGTGGGATAGACAGAGGAGGTGCTCATTTTGGGGGGAAATAAAGAGTTCTGCTTTGAATATGTTTTGTGGGAGGTGTGTCCTGGACATCCATCCAAATAGGCAATTGTATGCGTGCATCTGAAACTCAGAGTAAAGGCGGGAACAGAGAAATAAATTCATGGTCATCAGTCTGTTGATAATACTTAAAGCCATTGTCCTAGCTGAGATTATCTAGGGTGAGCATTGACAAAAAATAAAAAGAGAGAAGAAATTGAAGGATGAATCCCTGAGACTTCACCACTTTAAGTCAAGCAGGGAAGGAGGAACTAGCAAAGGAAGCTGAGAGCATGCCTGTGAGTTAGGAAGGAAGCCAGGAATCTGGTGTCGGGGTGGTGAGGCCAAGTAAGAATGATAAACTGTGTCAAACACTATCGAGAGCAGAGTAATGTGAGGACAAGATTCACCACTGGATTTACTGACATGAAGGTCAGTGGAGCCCTGACAATGCTGACTTCAGCAGTGTCATGAAGACAGATGGCTGATGGAAGTGGGTCAAGAGAATACAGAAAATCAGAATGAGGAGACTGTGGGTTTCAACCATTTTTTCTAAGAGGTTTTGCTATAAAGTGGTTCATCGGTGTGGATGAAGCCTCCAGGAGCAGAGATAGAGCCATCAACACTAGAAAGTCACAGAGACATGGGGGTCTGAGAGGGAACCCATGTAAGAACTAATTTGGGGAGGGGAGACTTTCAGAAAGGAGCTTCAGTTATTGGTTTATCAGGTAAGATGCACTCATTCTGAGGGAGAAACCAAAGAGTCTGGCATTGGTCTATATAAAAAATGTCAAAAAGTCAAATTGGAAAAACAGCCTCAGTCATGCAGTGGCAAAGTCAGGGCATGCTGCCCCGGGGAGGCAGTCAGGATGTGTACCAGGAGGCCGCACAGGGTGGCATTCATTGTGTGTGCGCGTGCTAAGTCACATTAGTCGTGTCCGACTCTTTGCGACCCTATGGGCTGCAGCCCACCAGGCTGCTCTGTCCATGGGATTTCCCAGGCAAGAATACTGGAGTGGGTTTTTGTGCCCTTCTCCAGAGGATCTTCAGGACCCAGGGACTGAACTCTGTCTCCTGCATGGCAAGCAGGTTGGTTACCACTCGCGCCGCCCTGGAAGCCCAGAGGTTCAGCTCCCTGAGAGCAGCTCCACCTTGTGGTGGTGGATTCTGGTCATCCTGGCTCACAGGACTAATGCAGAGACAGCAGTGAGTGGAGTGACTTCCCGCAGACAATCAGACAGTCGTAATGGTCTCGTGGTATGAAACACTTGCACTGGTTTATCAGGCTCTTCTTCCCTATTGGAAACCTGCCTGGGAAATTAAACAGGACTCTAGTTTACTAATTGACAGTGAAAAATATCATCCAGAGGATGCTTAGTTGCTTGGTAAGCCTGGAATCAGAACAAAGGAACTTAGATAAGTCTAGTAATTAAAGACATTTCACAGCAGGGAAGGTCTTGCCAAAGGTATAAAAACATAAAAAGTTGCAACTTACTGTATAGATTGCCCTAGTAGGAAAGGTCTTGCTAGTGGAATGGAAAGTCCTGAAATCCTTTTGATTAAAACTATCCTGTTAGTATTTAAATGGGCTGCCTTTGCCTCTGGATACTTTTTGATACTTCCATGGCTAAATGACCTCTGTAAATTTTAATCCTTTCTTTACATCTATTTAAAGAGTAGTCCTTGGTGGGAATGCAAACTAGTACAGCCGCTATGGAGAACAGTGTGGAGATTTCTTAAAAAGCTGGAAATAGAACTGCCATATGACCCAGCAATCCCACTTCTGGGCATACACGAGGAAACCAGATCTAAAAGAGACACGTGCACCCCAATGTTCATCGCAGCACTATTTATAATAGCCAGGACATGGAAGCAACCTAGATGCCCATCAGCAGATGAATGGATAAGGAAGCTGTGGTACATATACACCATGGAATATTACTCAGCCATTAAAAAGAATCCATTTGAATCAGTTCTAATGAGATGGATGAAACTGGAGCCCACTATACAGAGTGAAGTAAGCCAGAAAGATAAAGACCATTACTGTATACTAACACATATATATGGAATTTAGAAAGATGGTAATGATAACCCTATATGCAAAACAGAAAAACAGACACAGATGTATAGAACAGACTTTTGGACTCTGTGGGAGGAGGCGAGGGTGGGATGTTTCAAGAGAACAGCATCGAAGCATGTATATTATCTAGGGTGAAACAGATCACCAGCCCAGGTTGGATGCATGAGACAAGTGCTTGGGCCTGGTGCACTGGGAAGACCCAGAGGGATCAGGTGGAGAGGGAGGTGGGAGGGGGGGATCAGGATGGGGAATACATGTAAATCCATGACTGATTCATGTCAATGTATGACAAAAACCACTGCAATGTTGTAAAGAAATTAGCCTCCAACTAATAAAAGTAAATGAAAAAAAAAAACTTAAAAAAAAAATAAAGAGTAGTCCTTGGATCTCTAGTTCCTGGAGAGTATGCATGCGTGTATGCTTGCACATGTGTGTGTAAAGGGCAGGGGACAGAAGCAAGCAGGTGGCATGCCAGGCGCACAGGCCACTCTTTACCACCCTCTCATTAGCCAGCTAAGTTCTACCTACCCTGTTACACATACTGGCTTTCTGGATAAATAAGCTTCCCCTTTAAGGAAAAGGCTCTTTTAAATATTTGAAAATTATGTTGGCTTACCAGCCTGAAAGTTCTGTTTCTTTGAAAACTATTGAACTTGTTTGATTCCGGAAGTAACAAGAGCGAGGCGTGAACATGGGGAAGCAAAAGAAAACACGGAAGTATGCGACCATGAAGCGAATGCTTAGTCTCAGAGATCAGAGGCTTAAAGAAAAGGATAGATTAAAACCAAAAAATAAAGAAAAGAAAGATCCCAGTGCACTCAAGGAAAGAGAAGTCCCCCAACAGCCTTCCTGCTTATTCTTCCAATATAACACACAGCTGGGCCCACCTTACCACATCCCGGTCAATACCAACTTCATCAACTTTTCCATTAAAGCCAAACTGGACTTAGTGCAGTCAATGGTGGACTGCCTGTATGCCAAGTGTATCCCTTGTATAACTGACTGTGTAATGGCTGAAATTGAGAAATTGGGGCAGAAGTATAGAGTGGCTTTAAGGATTGCCAAGGATCCGAGGTTTGAGGGATTACCATGTACATACAAAGGAACCTATGCAGATGACTGCTTAGTACAAAGAGTAACTCAGCACAAGTGTTACATTGTGGCCACAGTTGACCGGGACCTTAAAGGAAGAATCCGGAAGATCCCTGGAGTTCCCATCATGTACATTTCTAACCATAGGTACAACATTGAGCGGATGCCAGATGATTACGGAGCCCCTCGGTTCTAATGAAAAGAGAAAATTTCTCCATCTTCCTTTGACCCATTTTCTCTTTTGCCAGTTCACTAAACATGCTATAGCATGAATTACTATTGCACTCACCCACTTGCTCTCTAGTGAGCTGAGTATAGTTAAATATACTCACTTTTCAGTGTTGTCTTTAAAATTAAATTTTGTGTCATTTTAAAATTTCCTGCATCTTTTTATAAATCAGAAAACTGCTCATAAAAAAAAAAGAAAAAAGAAAACTATTGAACTTGTCTGTTTTGCTTCATTACACGTCAATCCTTCTGTTCGATGATATAATGATAATAATAGGGACTTCCTGGTGGTCCAGTGGCTAAGAATCCCCGCTCCCAATGCAGGAGGCCCAGTATGTTCCCTGATCAGGGAACTAGATCCCACATGCTGCAACTAAAGAGCTGGCACAGCCAAATAAATAAATACTAATAATAAACATCTTATTTCCTTCATTTCCAACATTCACCCCACCCTTCATTCATAACGTAGTGTCTAGACAAGGCCAAAAGTGAGCAAGGTGGAACTGGGGATAGAAACTGCATAGGCCCAAAGACAGTGACTTTCTGTCTTTGACACTCATCAGGATTTTCAAAGTGCACACACTCTACTTTCTGGAAATTCTATTAATATTCCTGTGGTATTAGAAAGGCTTTCGGGCACCATGGGCACTGAAAACTGAGAAAACTCTGCTAAAGATTGGAATGGTAGAGTTAAGGAAAAGCAATATACATTTATGTGGTCATTTTTATTGACATGTTATCTTTGGAAAATTATGGAATAGGACTAGAACATAGTAAAACTGGGTCCATGAACCACAGATCATGCATTATTTTATAGCCACATTTGATGGCAGTTGGCACAGCTTTCTGGCAATGTTGAGGGTCAGGAATATTTCTCTGCCTTCATTCATAGACTAGTCAATCTTCACCTCACTGTTTATCCTCTTTGGTCTTGTCCATTCTGGCAGTTTGCTACTATTATTTAAAGCCTCTATATACAGAAATTTACTAGATGTTTGGGGAACCAACTCAATTTTCTCAATTTTATCCCAGGGAAAGAAAAGTGGGCAAAATGATGAGAGCAGTAAACACAATTAGCAGAAAAGATCCATGTTAAGCTTTTTCTATTCTCAACCCCCAATTAAAAAAAAAAAAAATCTGACAAGAGAGAAGTTTTCAGAAAACAAGCAGCATTTCAAATTCCAATTACTTTAAAATCAAAAGCATTGAGTGTTGTGTTAGTTTCCGGTATACAGCAAAGTGAATCAGTTATATGTATACACACATATCTGCCCCTCTTTAGATTTCTTTCCCTTATAGATCATTACAGAGCACTTGATAGAGTTTCCTGTGCTGTACACAGTAGGTCCTTATTAGTGATCTGTCTTATAGATAGTAGTGTGTATATGTCAATCCCAACGTAACACTGTAAGTCAACTATACTCCAATAAAAAGTTATTTTAAAAAAATCGAAAGCACCCAAATGAAACGAAGAAAATCAGAGCCGAGACCACCATACATGTTTATAAAAAGATCTCCACAGAGCCAAATAAGGGATATATCATTTTTAGCCTGAAAACTGGCCTGAAGTTTAAGAATTGGATTGCAGCCACCTTCGTGTCACATCAATAAAATATTGGAGCTGCCAGCCCTACCTATAAATGTGATCATAATTCAGCGGCAGTGAAGGGATTTACTAGAAGACAATGTAAAAGTGGTTATTTTCTGTTCCCATCTGTATTTTCTGAGAGACCTGGCTTTTTGTGACCTATACTGTGTGCATATTTGTGTCAATTAAAAGATGCTTTTCTGAGACACAGACACAGAGAACAGACTTGTGGACCCATCGGGGGAAGGAGGAAGTGGAATGAATTGACAGAGTAGCATTGACATATACACACTACCATGTTTATAAAATAGCTAGCTAGTGGGAAGCTGCTCTGTGATTGAGGGGGCTCCGCTTGGTGCTCTTTGATGACCAAGAGGGATGCGATGGGGCTGGGGTGGAAGGGAGGTTTAAGAGAGAGGGGAGATCTGTATGCATATGGCTGACTCACTTTATTGTACAGCAGAACTAACACATTATTGTAAAACAATCATACTCCAGTTTAAAAAAAAAATGCTTTCTCTTTCCTGATTTCTGACATGACCTTGAGGATCATTCTCCCATTTGTGATTTGTTCTCATTCTTGTAACAATCACCAAAACCATTTGATTTTAGGTATATGGTATAAGAGCCATGTAAACCATTAGAATATCCTACGTAATAATAACAGCATGATCATTTAAAGAAATTGAAAGAGTTTTTCGAAGGTGGCCTGGTTTAGGCACATCTCCTCATTTTGTGGTGTGGTATCTGCCCTTATACTCTCAGCCTGATTTTCTAGGTGGAATCATTTTTTTAATCAGGCCTAGTGAGTTGCATCTGCAGTGTGGTTGTGGCTCCCAGGATACAGTTTAGCAGGAATGCTTAGCAATTCTTAATCCACTTATTTGACTGTAGCGTTCAAGCCACTCTTTCTGTGCTTCTCAGTTCAAATCCTGTGCTGAAGAATATGTGGCCTGAAGGCAAGCTGAGCATTACAGAGGTGACCAAGAGACCGCTGACCGCTGCCACCTTATTTAAGAATTCTATGATTGCTCTGGTAGACAACCTTGCATCAAAGGTAATTACTCTCATTTTAAAATACCCGTTTTATTTCATGGATTCCCTCTTGATATATTTTAATAAGAAAGGTATGTATAATATTTGCTTTTTAGGTAATTATAGTAAATCAAATTGAAGAACATGTATTTTAAATGGATGTTGTAATAATTCTTAATACTGTTTTGTTTGTTTTTAACATGGCTTGGTGAAACAGTTGTTTGTGTGCCAGATGAAATGATATTCTTAAATTTAGCCCTTTTATATTGTTATCATCAATGGGAAAGTCTTAATGTGATCTTAAAAAAAATAAAAACAGTATACTACAATTATAGTATGTGCCTGATAAAAGAAACTTTAGCCCTGTGCTGAAGACAAGGCCTGGCTTTAAAAAAAAATCTTGACTTAAATTGTCATGTACCATCCTTATATTGTATCTGAATACAAATGACAGATGAGTTTTAAGAGGAAGTTTAGTATTTAAGTGTTGTCCTTAGGCTGTTTTAAATAGTTGAAATAAAAAGATGTACTATGGGCGGTCATTTCTGCTTTTTATTGTTCTTTGAGGTCTCATACTGTTTGATAACTTTAGTCTGAGATTTTTTTTCCCCTTGAAGAACAGATTTCTACTCTTAACTGCTGCTGTTGACAAGTTTGATAAATTAGGCAGCATTCTGGGGCTCATTATTTTTAGTTTCTTCATTTTTATCTTTCTCTCCTGGTGTTTTTCCAGTGTTTTTTTTCTTCTTCATTTTTATCTTTTTTTTTTTAAATCAACTTCCTCTCTAAAAATTTAAATCTATATTATTTTTGGTTACTTCACTGTGGATAAATTAGGCAAATGCCACAAGAGTACATCTCTTCAGTAGCTTTCTGTTCTTTTTATCAGGATTCTTTGGCCTCAGGTGACAACAAATAAGAACAGTGTGTTGGCTTGTATAATCAAACCTCCAGAAAGGCAGAGAGGGTTAAGGATACCAGAGCTGTAGGCGTGAATACCCTTAAGACCCCTCCTCTTGTCCCTCAGCTTTTCTCTGCAAGTCAGCTTCAGCCTGCCTCATCCAGCAAGGGAAGTGAACCTAGAAGAAAGGCATGGGACACGAGGAAGACAGTCGCACACAGAATTTTATAAGATGTACTTTAGGGAACACATTCATTGTAAATATGTTGTTTGTAAAATATGTTCAAGTTAATTAGCTAGAAGAGAATCATTTTTATTTTCTATGTTTGGTAGTTAGACGTTCATTTTTTAACATTTATTTATTTGGCTGTGCTGGGTCTGTGTTGCAGCATGCAGATGCTCTTCGTTGTGGGGTGCAGGCTTTCTCTAGTTGCAGCACCGAGGGTCTTCTTGTTATGGAGCCACAGGCTCTGGGGCACATGGGCTCAGCAGTTGCGGCTCGTGGGCTCTCGAGTGCAGGCTCAGGAGTCAGAGTGCATAGGCTTTGTTGCCCTATAGCATGTGGATCTGAGTTCCTCGACCGTGCATCAAACCCATGTCCCCTGCACTGGAAGCCAGACTCCTAAGCACTAGACCACCAGGGAAGTCCCAATGTACCATTTTTTAAATAAAAATTCTAGGACCATTTCTCATTTCTGTATGGAGAATTGCATTCAGCTGCTAAATAAATGAACCCCACCCCACCCCCAAATTAGTGGATTAAACAGGAGAGACATTTATCCCTCTCTATGTAAATGAAGTGCGGAAGAAGGTATCCCAGCACTGGCATAGCAGCTCTAAGGTTGTTAGAGACCCAGGTTCCTTCTGTCTTTCTGTTCTACTATCTCAATGCTTGGCATCCATCCTCCTGGCCCAAGATGGCAGCTGGAGCTTCTTCCTTTTTAAAGAGACTTCCTGGAAGCCTCATATAGCACTTTAGCTCCATCTCATTTGGTGTACTTAGTTGCCAGGGAAGCTGGGAAGTGCCTTTCATTCTGGTTAGCATTGCTCCCAGCTAGAAGTAAGTATTCTGTTTCAAAGTAGGAAGAAAAAAGTATATGAGGTAGGCAGCTAGCCTAGCAGTTTCTGCTACAGCTCCCCAATCTCTGTGTGTAGAGGTAGGGAATGAAAAAGGGAGCAGGGACAAGCAAAAGAGTAGAGACAGCCCACCAGTCCAGGAAGCCAGTAAACCACAAAACTCATGTGACTTACCCTATTGCAGCATTCATGTTATTGCCATGGTCTGGAACTGAACCTGCAGTAACACCAAGGTTTTGCCATGTTGTTCATAGGAGTTATTATATCTAATTAATACTCTGCAGAAAGATTAAGAACAGAAAGGTAGATAAAGACATATCAAGCCCCCTCCCCCGAGAAAACTGGTGAAGGCAATATTAACGTGAGAGAACATAAAATTTAAGGGAAAAATCTATTATATACAGATAGACTAATAATAAAAAGAAAATTAAAGACATATCAAGCCCCCTCCCCCGAGAAAACTGGTGAAGGCAATATTAACGTGAGAGAACATAAAATTTAAGGGAAAAATCTATTACATACAGATAGACTAATAATAAAAAGAAAATACTCAATAAAGCTAGATAGGTACTTGAACTAGGTACCTAACAATACAGCCGTGATGGTACTTAAATCTAGAAAGCAAAAAAACAAAAAGAAAAGAAGAACCTGAAAAATGTAAAAGGCAAGAAAGGCAAAATTGACAAGTTCACAATTCTAGAGGGAGATTTTAAACCAACTCTACCAAAAACTGATAGATCAAACAAAAACCTTAGCAAGAGTGCAGAAGCTTTGAAAACCAAATTTAAACTTTATCTAATCAAAAGCTCTCTATACCCAGGGGATAAGAAATACATATTCCTTTCAAGTATACATAGAACATTTTTAAGAACTGACCATAAGCTAGATCACAAAGGAAGTCTCAAATGTTTTAACAAATATATATACAGATGTATTCTCCATCCTCACAGCAAGTGAAATAAAAACCAGCATTTTAAAACTTTTTTTTTTTAAATATGCTTGGGAACTTTAAAGAAATGTCTCCTAAATAACTCACAGGTTGAAGAAGAAATCTCAATGGAAATTACAAAATACATGAAACTGCATGACAAAGAATTTATCAGAATCAGCAGAATACTGCTAAAGTGGTCCACTTGTTATGCCTTTATTAAAAACAAACAGAAAAAAAAGGAAGATCAAAAGTAAATGATACAATTCAAGAAGTCAGTAAAGGGAATCAAAGGAGAATCTAAAGAAAGTGAGAAAATAATTTTTAAATAGAAAAAACTAAAAGTAATAGATCCAGAAATTAATTAGACCTTTAAAAAATTGGTTTTAAAAAGAGAAAACAGTATTCAGAATGAAAGAAGTTTACAGCTTCTATATTACAGGGATTTTTTTAAAGTATCAGACTATTACAAACAACTGTATGCCAATGAATCTTAAAAATTAGTTTTCTAATAATAGAATGTGTGTGTGTGCTCAGTTATATCTGACTCTTTGCAGCCCCATGTACTGTAGCCTGCCAGGCTCCTCTGCCCATAGAATTTTCTAGGCAAGAATACTGGGGTGGGGTGCCATTTCCAACTCCAAGGGATCTTCCCAACTCAGGGAATGAACCTGAATCTCTTGTGTCTCCTGCATTGGCAGGAGGATTCTTTACCACTAGCACCACCTGGGAAGCAATAGTTTTCTAGAACAATGTTATCAAAATTAACTCAAGAAGAAGAAAACCTGAATAAATCAGTAACCTTAGAGATTCTGAATCACTAATCAGAAGTCTGCCTTCTTCCAACTCTGCCAAGAACTTCAGGCCTAGATGGTTTTATAGATAAGTTTTATAAATCCTTCAAGGAGCCAGTAATTCCTATCATACATACATGGTTTTGGAGGATGGGAAGAAGAGAGGCCACTACCCAATTTATTTTATGAGATTACTATTACCTTCAGTTTAGTTCAGTCGCTCAGTCATGTCTGACTCTTTGCAACCCCATGAATCGCAGCACGCCAGGCCTCCCTGTCTATCACCAACTCCCGTAGTTTACTCAAACTCATGTCCATCAGGTCGATGATGCCATCCAGCCATCTCATCCTCTGTCATCCCCTTCTCCTCCTGCCCCCAATCCCTCCCAGCATCAGGATCTTTTCCAATGAGTCAACTCTTCGCATAAGGTGGCCAAAGTATTGGAGTTTCAGCTTCAGCATCAGTCCTTCCAATGAACACCCAGGACTGATCTCCTTTAGGATGGACTGGTTGGATCTCCTTGCAGTCCAAGGGACTCTTGAGAGTCTTCTCCAACACCACAGTTCAAAAGCATCAATTCTGCAGTGCTCAGCTTTCTTCACAGTCCAACTCTCACATCCATACATGACCACTGGAAAAACCATAGCCTTGACTAGACGGGCCTTTGTTGACAAAGTAGTCTCTGCTTTTTAATATGCTATCTAGGTTGGTCATAACTTTCCTTCCAAGGAGTAAGCGTCTTTTAATTTCGTGGCTGCAATCACCATCTGCAGTGATTTTGGAGCCCAAAAAAATAAAGTCTGACACTGCTTCCACTGTTTCCCCATCTATTTCCCATGAAGCGATGGGACCGAATGCCATGATCTTAGTTTTCTGAATGTTAAGCTTTAAGCCAACTTTTTCACTCTCCTCTTTCACTTTCATCCAGAGGCTCTTTAGTTCCTCTTCACTTTCTGCCATCAGGGTGGTGTCATCTGTATATCTGAGGTTATTGGTATTTCTCCCAGCAATCTTGATTCCAGCTTGTGCTTCTTCCAGCCCAGCATTTCTCATGATGTACTCTGCATAGAAGTTAAATAAGCAGGGTGACAATATACAGCCTTGACGTACCCCTTTTCCTATTTGGAACCAGTCTCTTGTTCCATGTCCAGTTCTAACTGTTGCTTCCTGACCTACATAGAGGTTTCTCAAGAGGTGGGTCAGGTGGTCTGGTATGCCCATCTCTTTCAGAATTTTCCAGTTTATTGTGATCCACACAGTCAAAGGCTTTGGCATAGTCAGTAAAGCAGAAATAGATGTTTTTCTGAAACTCTCTTGCTTT